TTTTAAATTGTCAATTGACAATTTATACCTGTTTATATTTATGGGGCACAAAGTCCTATTGTGACTTATAAATACAATGTGGAATAATTAAATCAAGCCAGTTAACATATCCATCACCTCTAATGCTTAACATTTTTTAGGTTGAGAACATATGAAATTTACTCTTAGCAATCTACCATGCTGTAATAGTTCTTAAAAAACAATATACTCCTCCTGAGACTTTACGCCCTTTGACCATCATTTCCCCATTCCTCTTCCCTACGCCTCTGTAACCACCATTCTATTCACTGCTTCGTGTGTGTGTGTGTGTATACTTTTTTTTTTCTTTGAGACAGAGGCTCGCTGTTGCCCAAACTGGAGTGCAGTGGTGCAATCTCGGCTCACTGCAACCTCCACCTCCTGGGTTCAAGCGATTTTCCGGCCTTAGTCTCCTGAGTAGCTGAGATTACAAGTGCTCACCACCACGCCCAGCTAATTTGTATATTTTTAGTAGAGACAGGCTTTCCTCATGCTGCCTGGGCTGGTCTGAAACTCCTGGGCTCAAGCAATCCACCCACCTTGGCCTCCCAAAGTGCTGGGATTACAAGTGTGTGCCACTGCACCCAGCCCTTCTAGTCGCTGCTGCTATGAGTTCAAAGGCTTTAGATGCTACAAATAAATGACAACATTTCATCCTGTTTTCTTAATCTGACTTATTAGATGTTCCACCTGGACCTCTGAGGATTTGATGTTTCTAAGTTCTTGAATATGTCCATTCTGGTCTATCTGACCCTGTCACAAATCACACCTTGAAACCGCTCGTCACAGAGGTCTCTTGCTTCCTGCCTGTGATTACACAGTGTAGCAGAAGGTGCACAGGCTCTGAAGACAGACCAAGGTCCAAATGAAGCCTCTGATATTTAATGTATTGAATCTTAGTTTCCTTATCGAAACAAATAATAACATTTGTTTTTTGAGTCTTGTGAGAATTAGATATACAAATATAGTACCTAGAACACAATAGATGTTAAATGAATTGCAGTATTTTCTTTTTATACTTTGGTTTAAGTATAAGCAACAGGGTGTTGCAGAAAAAATGGGATTTAAAGTTAAGACAAAGTTCTTGGCTGAGTGTGGTGGCTCATGCCTACAATGCCAGCACTATCCCACACCAAGGTGGGAGGATCACTTGAGTCCAGGAGTTTGAGACCAGCCTGGGCAACATGGTGAGACCCTGTCTCTACAAAAAAATTTTAAAAATTAGCCGAGTGTGGTGGTAGGCTGAAGTAGGAGGATTGCTTGAGCCCAGGAGGTTGAGGCTGAAATAAGCTGTAATCGAATGCCGGGAGAGAGATCCAAGATGGCTGATCACTAGCAGCTCGGGATTGTAGCTCCCACTGAAAGCACAGAGAACAAGAGGACGCCACACTTTCAGACAAATTTTTGTTGCTCATGCACCAAGAGATTCCCAGCGGAGGAGCCCCATGGGTCGCCAGCGTGACTCTTGTGGCCGGCAAGGCGGTTTTGACCGGGCCTCGGTGCGGCAGTTCTTGGTGCAGAGTCAGAAAAGCACCATCAATCTTAACGCCGCTGTTTTAGCTGGCGCAGTGGGTTGCTCAGATTCTGGCGCTGGGAATCAACAAGTTCGACGTTCACTCAGAAACCCAATTATAAAGTAGGTAATTATAAAGACGACAGATGGATAAATTTATAACGAAGGGAAAAAACCAGCCTAAATAGGTTGAGAATACCCAAAATCAGAACGCCTCTCCCTCTACAGGGGATCACAGTTCCTCATCAGCAATGGAACAAGTCCTGATGGAGAACGAGTGTGTTCCATTAACAGAAGCAGGCTTCAAAAGGTGGATGATAAGAAACTTCTGTGAATTAAAAGAACTTGTTCTAACCCAATGCGAAGAAACTAAGAACTTTGAAAAAAGGTTTGATGAAATGCTAACGAGAATACACAAATTAGGGAGGAATATAAGTGAATTAATGGAGCTGAAAAACACAACACGAGAACTTCGCGAAGTATGCACAAGTTTTAACAGCCGAATTGATCAAGCACAAGAAAGGATATCAGAGGTCGAAGGCCAACTTAATGAAATAAAATGAGAAGACAGAATTAGAGAAAAAAGGATAAAAAGGAACGAGCAAAGTCTCCAAGAAATATGGGACTATGTGAAAAGACCTAATCTACGTTTGATAGGTGTACCTGAATGTGACGAAGAGAATGAATCCAAGCTGGAAAATACGCTTCAGGATATTATTCAGGAAAACTTTCCCAACCTAGCAAGGCAGGACACTATTCAACTCCAGGTAATACGGAGAAGACCACAAAGATATTCCTCAAAAAAACCAACCCCAAGGCACGTAATCGTCAGATTCACCAGAGTTGAAATGAAAGAGAAAATACTAAGGGCAGCCAGAGAAAATGTGTGGGTTACCCACAAGGGGAAGCCCATCAGACTCACAGCAGATCTCTCAGCAGAAACCCTACAAGCCAGAAGAGAGTGGGGACCAATATTCAACATCCTTAAAGAAAAGAACTTTCAACCCAGAATTTTGCATCCAGCCAAACTAAGCTTCATAAGCGAAGGAAAAATAAAATTTTTTGTGAACAAGCAAGCACTCAGAGATTTCATCACCACCAGGCCTGCTTTACAAGAGCTTCTGAAAGAACCACTACACATAGAAAGGAACAACCAGTATCAGCCTTTCTAAAAAATACCAAAAAGTAAAGAGCATCAACATAATGAAGAATTTACATCAACCAATGGGCAAAACAGCCAGCTAACATTAAATGGCAGTATTAAACTCACATATATTATTATTAATTCTAAATTTAAATCAACTAAATCCCCCAGTCCAAAGACACAGACAGGCAAATTGGATAAAAAGCCAAAACCCATCGGTATGCTGCATCCAGACCCATCTCACATGCAAGGATACACAAAGACTCAAAACAAAGGGATGGAGAAAGATTTACCAACCAAATGGAGAGCAAAAATAAATAAAGAGCAGGAATTGCGATTTTTGCCTCTGATAAAATAGACTTTAAAGCAACAAATATCAAAAGAAGCAAAGAAGGACATTACATAATGATAAAAGGATCAATGCAACAAGAAGAGCTAAAGATCCTAAATATATACGTACCCAACACAGGAATACCCAGATATATAAGACTTATAAAGAGACTTAGACTCCCACACAATAATAGTGGCAGACTTCAACATCAGTATTAGACAGATCAATGAGACAGAAAATTAACAACGATATCCAGGACTTACTCAGATCCGGAACAAGTAAACTTAATTAACATTTATAGAACTCTCCACTTTCCACAAAATACACACTCTTATCAGTACCACATCACACCTACTTACAGGTTTAAATGAAATATTGGTTGGTTGGTTGTTATTTTCTTCCCTCATTTTTTTCATGTCTCCATTATTAAGCACAATTATAGGCATACCCATTTTTAGATTGCATTCTAGCCTGGGCAATAAAGCAACACCCCCGTTCTCTCTCCCTCTTCCTCTTTCTTCCTCTCCTTCATTCTTTTTTTAATTATTCTTTTTTTTTTCTTTCTTTCTTTCTTTTTTTAAAAAAATACCCCAAAAGAGAAAAAAAAAAAAGCTGTAATCATGCCAATGCATTTCGGCCTGGGCAACAAGCAAGACCTTGTCTCAAAAAAAAAAAAAAGAAAAATTTACATGAGAATATGCTTTTAAGAACTGTTTGCCAGGCGCGGTGGCTCATGTCTGTAATCCCAGCACTTTGGGAGGCTGAGGCAGGTAGATCACAAGGTCAGGAGTATGAGACCAGCCTGGCCAACATGGTGAAAAACCCCGTCTCTAATAAAAATACAAAAAAAATTAGCCGGGTATGGTGGTGCGTACCTGCAGTCCCACCTACTTGAGAGGCTGAGGCAGGAGAATTGCTTGAACCTGGGAGGCAGAGGTTGCAGTGAGCCAATATCACACCATTACATTCCAGCCTGGGTGACAGAGCAAGACTCACTTTAAAAAAAAAAAAAAATCCTCTGTCCAAAATATTATTACTCAAGCCAGGAATGACCTTTCTCTCTTAAATAAATTGAAATCTTAATCTGCATGTCTTAGCTCAAATGTTGCATCTTCCAAGACACTTTTCTCTAATAATCTCAAAAATATAAATAATACGGTATCCATACTCTGGACATTGTTAAAAAGAATGACGAACATCTAAATGTACTGAGATGGAAAATCTCAGACATACAAAGTGAAAATTAGCCAAGGAATACATAATGATTCCATTTCTATGTTTAGAGAAAAAAAGAGGTGACCATGCCATTTCCTTGCTTAAAATCCTTCAGGGGTTCCCCACTGCCAACCATGTGAAGTCTGAGCTCCTTACCTGATATCCAGGCTCCTTCCTTATTTGAGCTCTGCCAGCCTCTGTGGCCTCATCTCCTGCAGACCAACCTTTTCATCGTGAGCCCTGGGTTCCAGCTGTGACTAATGTGCCCTCCACCGTCTCTTCCTTTAGATCAGTGGTTCTCAAAGTTTAGCATGCATCAGAATCACCTGGAATGCTTGTTAAACTACAGATTGCTAGCTGCATCCGTAGAATTTCTGATTCAGATCTAGGATTGGGCCTAACAATTTCTATTTTCTATCAAGTTCCCAGGTGATACTGATGCTGCTGTTCTAAGAACCATACTTTGACAGTCAATGCCTTTACAATGATTCTGACTCAACTTCCTCACCTACATATAGGCTGACCAATCATTTTGGTTTGAGACTGCCCCAGTTTTGGCAATTAAAGTTTCAAGTCACAGAAAACTCCTTAGTTCCAAGCAAACTGGGACAGTTGGTTACCACCGGCATAAGAATCTCTCCCAGGTTGCAGCTTACAGGACATTTATTGCTACTGCCAAGCAGGCCTTCCCTATGGCCAGGCAACAGAGTGCTGAGGAAGGAATTCCATCATCCTGACTGATTTTTTGCTGGAGTAAGAGTATTTAACAAAGTTTTGCATATTCAGGCACTTCCAAACATATTTTCTTTATTTCCTCCAGAAAACAGGCTTTAGTACTGAGGTCCCGTAAACAATTAACACAATTGGTTTGAGAACAAACTAGAAGCATCTATATCCTTGCCCTGTGTTGGTTGCTGGGGTGAGTTTATACAAGGAGAAGTTGGGACAAATGCAGTGGGCACAGGTGAGCTTCTTACTCAGTTCAAAGTAGGTCCTGGGATGAGTTCCATACAGCCAGTATAGCTGACTTTCTGTGATTTCCAAGGGGTGCCCAAGACATTAGGACTGATGATGTTTCTGCTCACTGTTGATCAGGGTCAAACGTTTTCACTAACTGGGACTGCTCTTTCCAAGAGTTCAGAGGTCAGAAAGCTGGTAGCGTCGTACAAGACTGTCTCGACAGCATGAGTAGATCTGTTTCTCCCATGTGGCTACCTAGAACACAAGAATTCACAGTTCAAAGGAAGCCTGAGATTATTCCATTTCAAAAGATGCAGGCTTATGATTGATACACACTAGTTCCAGGGAGTTTGAGAAGACTTTATGAAGGCAACAGAATTACATCCATGATTACAAAAATCTCTGGCCCATAGTGATGGGTGCATCTCAACCATTGGGATCCACCCATGACTGCAGAACAGACAAACTAACTGGCCCAAGTGGAAAGCAAGCCTTTTAGTGTTGTATACATTTAGCACAGATGGTCTACCTCTGGGGAGGAGATGGTTCATAGATGGGCTTGGCTGTTCTTGAACCTTATAAAATTCAATGCAAAAAAGTTCTGAAATATGTGCCTTTTTTTCTGAAGAGGATTTCATCAACTTCTCAAGGAAAACAGCATGAATTCTGGAGTTAATCTCAGCTTTACTACCAGCTAGATGCATGACCTAGGGCAACTTTCTCAGCCCCTCTGGACCCCAGTTTCCTCATTTGTACAATGGAAATATGTTGATTCAAAATAAAGAACACTACACAAGAAGTTTAAAAAATGAAATATATCTTTATGCATTTACATGGAATTAGCTCTAAGATGGTAAGTTAAAAAAAAATTTCACGGCCAGGAGCAATGGCTCACGCCTGTAATCACAGCACTTTGGGAGGCCAAGGCGGGTGGATCATGAGGTCAGGAGTTCGAGACCAGCCTCGCCAAGATGTTGAAACCCCATCTCTATTAAAAATACAAAAATTAGCTGGGTGCGGTGGCACATGCCTGTAATCCCAGCTACTCAGGAGGCTGAGGCAGGAGAATCGCTTGAACCTGGGAGGCAGAGGTTGCAGTGAGCCGAGATCGCGCCATTGTACTCTAGCCTGGGTGACAGAGTGAGACTCCATCTCAAAAAAAAAGAAAAAAAGAAAAAAAAATTTCACGGGGCAATATATAGAGAATAGTCTCAATTATGTACAGGCTGAATATAAAAGTATCTTATTTACTTTAATAAAGATTAAGTCTGCAAATTCTCTGAAAACAGTCTTGAAAAATATATGCCAAACTATTAACACTAGTTACTTTTGGAAAAAAGGAAGAGAACCAAAAAGGTCATAAAGGAGACTTTTAAATGTGTATAATTCTGTATGGTTTCAACTTTTATAGATATTAACTGTACAACTTTTTAAAAATTGTAGGAAAAAATAGGAATAGTAATACCTACACTTCAAGCCAGGTGCAGTGGCTCACACCTGTAATCCCAGCACTTTGGGAGGCCGAGGCAGGTGGATTACCTGAGGTCGGGAGTTCAAGACCAGCCTGACCAACATGGTGAAACCCTGCCTCTAAAAAAGAAAAAAAGTAATACCTACACCTCAACAAACAGTAACAAAGAGTAGATAATATCTATAAAACGTTCACCACAATGTCTGGTCAATAAATATTTCCCTTTTTTCTCTTTCTAAACAAAGGAAAAATCAGTCAACAAGTTTTAATAATAATAATGAATAATATTTATGGAATATATTTATTTACAAAGAGCTTTTATATTACGAACTTCATTTTATGGATGAATTGACAGGCTAGTGAGGTGAAGTAAGTTTTTAAGTTTATGGAGCTAGTAACTGATGAAGTCTTTTTTTTTTTTTTTTTTTTTGAGACAGGGTCTCACTCTGTCACCTAGGCTGGTGTGCACCATCACAGCTCACTGCAGCCTCAACTTTCCAGGCCCAAGCAATTATCCCTTCTCAGCGTCCTGAATGAGTAGCTGAGACTACAGGTGTGTGCACCACCATCCCTAGCTAATTTTTCTGTATTTCTTGTAGAGACAGGGGTCTCATCTTATTGCCCAGGCTGGTTCTGAACTCCTGGGTTCAAGGAGTTGAACCTGCCTCAGCCTCCCAAAGTGCTGGCATTATAGCTGTCAATCAGTTCTTTTTGTTTTTTGAGATGCAGTCTCACTCTGTTGCCCAGGTTGGAGTGTAGTGGCATGATCTCAGCTTACTGCAGCCTCCGCCTCCCAGATTCAAGCGATTCTCTTTCCTCAGCCTTCCAAGTAGCTGGGACTACAAGCGTGTGCCACCACACCCAGCTAATTTTTTTGTATTTTTAGTAGAGACGGGGTTTCACCATGCTGGCCAGGCTGGTCTTGAACTCCCTACCTCAAGTGATCTGCCCGACCTCCCAAAGTGCTAGGATTACAGATCTGAGCCACTGTGCCTGGCCCAGAAGTCACTTCTGACTCAAGCTCTTGATGTCTTCCCCTCCCACCACGTTGCTTAAACGATATGCACTATTTTATCATCCCTAATGACCACAAGGTAGCTGGATACAGTTTTATAAAAGCCCTAGATCTCACATGAGAATCACCCAGGCCTGATCTCATCTTGAGCCTGTACCTTGTACACAGGGTCACAGTCAGCCCCAGTGAGCTCAATGACATAGTCTAAGTCCTGCTGGACAATAAAACAGCTTCCATCACCTAAAAGGCAGAAAGAAAATTCATATAAGAGAAAACTGCATCCAAAGAGTTTAAAGCTCAATATTTTTATTTGCTCCTGTAGAACACTAGCCTAAAGAAGATGGTTCAAAGACCCAGAATGGCAAACAGATCTTACCATGTGAGCCTATATATATTGTTTTCTTTTTTCTTTTTTTTTTTTTCGGAGACAGAGTTTTGCTCTTGTTGCCCAGGCTGGCATGCAAAGGCATGGTCTCAGCTCACTGCAACCTCCACGTCTGGGGTTCAAGCAATTCTCCTGCCTCAGCTTCCCAAGCAGCTGGGATTATGGGTGTCGGCTACCACACCCGACTAATTTTTATATTTTTAGTAGAGACAAGGTTTCACCATGTTGGCCAGGCTGGTCTCGAATTTCCGAACTCAGCTGATCTGCCCGCCTCAGCCTCCCAAGGTGCTGGGATTACAAGCGTGAACCACCGTGCCCTGCCTATGTGGGCCAATTATGATGACCTATAGTGGCTGCCTGGAATGCTGAGCTGGGTGGATTTGAAGAGTAAGTGTGAGTTCTGTGGGAAGAAGGGATGTCTTTGATTAGCAATGCCATTCAAAGGCACAGAGCAAGCAACCACAAGTGTGGGGGTATGTGTGTATATATATATATATTTGCAAACTTATCCTAGATTATTATTTGTAATAGGGAATGTCTAATGGCCTACAGGTGGGACACAGGAGGGGAGAAATATCGAGGCCCTGGGAGGCCTACCTGCTGGTTCTTGATGGGCACATCAAGAAGGTACTTTAGAGGTGCCACTGAGACAACATAGGCTTTGGATGTGCTGCAGTATGGCTCTAGGTTTGAAGACCACATTCCTCTTGTAGCAGAAAATCTCACTTTAAGCCAGAGTGGGAAACCCGCCATAATCTTTTATCAGCTTCTCACTGTTATTATGTCATTCAACAAGGAAAAGTGACATCTAGTATTGAGTTTTTTCCATCTCGGAACAGCATATGATTACTATAGCTTTTCTTCTGCACTCATAAGTTTCTATATACAAATGTTATCCACTAGATAAGGCCTGCTCTATTTCCATCATCTCCAGGAAGCTATTAATATTTGTCACCATCCTATATGGTGAATTCTTTCTCTATCCATCTCCTCTAATATTTATTATTCCTTTGATACTTCAACATATCTTACCCTGTAAGATATGTTCTACTTTTGGTAGGTGTGTGTCTTATCATTAGAACATGAGGATAAGGAACACATTTTAGGAGAGATTATCAGGGCGTGGGGTGCTAGCAGGAGTAACAAGACATTAACATTTATAGAATGTCTGCCTTACGGCAGGTATTTTACATATTTTATCTCTAAGGAAACTCAAGCATAGAAAACTTATGACCAAGGTCACAGAGCAATTAGATTAAACCGTACATGTGTGACATTTTTATAAGTCAAAACTGGTCAAATATTAAGAATTTTGGTCGTCAAATATTAAGAATAAGGGTGCAGTGGTTCACACCTGTAATCGCAGCACTTTGGGAGGCCGAAGTGGGTGGATCACAAGGTCAGGAGTTCGAGACCAGCCTGACCAACATGATGAACCCCTGTCTCTACTAAAAATACACATACAAAAAAAATAGCCGGGTGTGGTGGCGGTACACCTGTAGTCCCAGGTACTCTGGAGGCTGAGGCAGGAAAATCACTTGAACCCAGGAGGCAGAGGTTGCAGTGAGCCAAGACTGCACCACTGCACTCCATCCTAGGCAATAGAGGGAGACTCCATCTAAGAAAAAAAAATTTCACAGGGCTGAATCTAATAGTAAGTGAGAAAGTGAGGATTTAAACTAATTGGTTTGGTTGTCAGTTTAGGTTTAAATTCTGTGTTCTTTCTACATCATACCGTTGCCCAATAAAATGAGGGCTAAGTACCAGGTCAGGGCTAGAGCTATGGATTCCCATCATTAACAGCTAAAGCTATGTTAACAGTTGACATGCTATGCTAAAGAAGAAGCATGGACAAAGAAAAGGTAAAAGAACAAACAAAAGCTGAACTAGGAAATTTCTCCGGCTTAGGGAAGGCAACAATAAAAGGAATAGCAAAAGGATTCAAGTTCAAAAAACAATTTGAGAACTATGAATCATGCTAGGCACTTACAAACATAAACTACTGAAACCCAGGAAAGGAGCAGTAACTGGAAAGAAAGAATAACCAGGAAATTAAATAGTGTCACAGAAGTCAAGAGACAAGAGTTTTAAGAAGAAATAATAGTGATAATTAACACTAAGAGTGATAAAAGATGAAGAATCTTTACTCATTCATTGAACAAGTATTTATGGAGATTCTTCAGACCTATGTAAAGCTAGGGATACAGAGATGAAGAAGAATGGTACCTGCCCTCAAGAAAACTTAGGGATTAGTGGATGAGACACTGAACCTAGCAAGAAGCACATCATTGGTGGCCTTTAAGAGGACAATATGAGTAGAGGGACAGGAATGGAGACTGAACTGCAGAGAGATCTACTGGGAGAGTGTGGTATGGCAGCAAAATTCCTCATTCCAGAAATCTGGTGCAGGGAGAAAATGAAATGGATCACATATGTGGTGGCAGCAGCATCAAGGCAGGGTGCCACAAGTGTTATGCCAGCTCTTCTCTTAGCAAGGTTCTGAAGCAGGGTACTGCTGCATCACCAAATTGATGCCAAGGCATGGGAAGAAGGAGAGATTGAGAGTATTGGTTGGTTGTCAGTTTATTATGGTCTAGAAATCCTGGAGGAGAAGGGCAGGGGAAATAAGGTACCAGTTTTAACTGGGACAAAGGCTACCTTCCTATGTCAGAGCAATGGCCATGGAAATCTGGACACTGTTGGCTGCCTACTCAACAACTATTTCCCTGCCCTTTTCCCAGCTAAAAGAATCCCAAATTGTTTCTACTAACAAGTGACCCAGGGGTTAATCTTGATTAGTGCAAGCCAATTACAGTAATTTCATTCTCCTTGCCAGAGTCTAAGGTGGGGGCATGTGGTATAATTCTGGCCAATAAGGTAAGTCTGCAAGTTTAGGGGCTGCCTCTGAGGAAATTTTCCTTCTTCTTAAAAAGGACAGAATATCCACTGTTATATGAGAAAGACAACTGCTGCAGCTATCTTGTACTGAGACCATAAGGGAACAAACTGGAGGACAAAAGCCAGCACGCTAGGGTGGAAAGAGCCAAAATGGAAAAGAAGCTAGATTCTTGGTTTTGTTTCTCTTTTCTTGCTAAAGCTTTTCTTGTTTAATTTTTTTTTTTTTTTTTTTTTTGAGACAGAGTCTCATTCTGTCGCCCAGGCTAGAGTGCAGTGGCTCTGTCTCGACTCACTGCAACCTCCATCTCCCTGGTTCAACAATTCTCCTGCCTCTGCCTCCCGAGTAGCTGGGATTATAGGTGTACACCATCACACAGAGCTAATTTTTGTATTTTTAGTAGAGATGAGGTTTCACCATGTTGGCTAGGCTGGTCTTGAATGCCTAACCTCAGGTGATCCACCCACCTTGGCCTCCCAAAGTGCTGGGATTACAGGCGTCAGCACCACACCCAACCTTATTTAAAAAAAAATTTTTTTTTTTTAGATGGAGTCTCACTCTGTCACCTAGGCTGGAGTGCAGTGATACAATCTCAGGTCACTGCAACCTCTGCCTCCCAGGCTGAAGCAATTCTCCTGCCTCAGCCTCCCGAGAAGCTGGGACTGCAGACACATGCCACCATGCCCAGTTAATTTCTGTGTTTTTAGTAGAGACAGGGTTTCACCGTGTTGGCCAGGATGTTCTCAAACTCCTGACCACAAGTCATCCACCCATTTTGACCTCCCAAAGTGTTGGGATTACAGGTGTGAGCCACCACGCCAACCCCCCACCCTCAGTCACTATCTTTTAAGACTTTTTTTTAAATTAAAAAAAGTATTTTTGAGATAGGGTCTCGCTTTGTCACCTAGGCTGTTATGCAGTGGCACAATCATGGCTCACTGCAGCCTCAACCTCCTAGGCTCAGGTGATCCTCCCACCTCAGCCTCCTGAGTAGCTAGGACCACAGAAATGAGCCACCACGCCTGGCTAATTTTTATTTTTTGTAGAGACAGGGTCTCCTATGTTGCCCAGGCTGGTCTCAAACTCCTGGGCTCAAGTGATCCTCCCACCTCAGCCTCCCAAAATGCTGGGATTACAGGTATGAGCCACCCTGCCCAGCCTATTTGCTTTTTAAATTAAAAAAAAAAAAGAAGCCGGGTGCGGTGGCTCAAGCCTGTAATCCCAGCACTTTGGGAGGCCAAGGCGGGTGGATCACAAGGTCAAGAGATGGAGACCATCCTGGTCAACATGGTGAAACCCCGTCTCTACTAAAAATACAAAAAATTAGCTGGGCATGGTGGCGCATGCCTGTAATCCCAGCTATTCAGGAGGTTGAGGCAGGAGAATTGCCTGAACCCAGGAGGTGGAGGTTGCGGTGAGCCGAGATCGTGCCATTGCACTCTAGCCTGGGTAACAAGAGTAAAACTCCGTCTCAAAAAAAAAAAAAAAAAAAAAAGGGGGTAAAACATCTTATATTAACAGAAAAGTTAAAAGATTGTATAGAAAGTCCCCATATGCCCTTAGTCAGTTTCAGTTTTTCCCAAGTGTTATCTATCGTCTTACGCCTGTTAAAATAAAGATGTCAACCTTAACATCCTGGATCCAATCCAGAATACACTGACTTAGTTATCAAGTTTCCTTAGTCTCCTTGGTTGATTTTATTTTGAAATCATTAAATTATTATAATCAGAAACAAAATCTGGACTTCTTGTTAAGTGAAGCAGTATATTTTCCTATCTGTTTAAGCCATGTTCAGCTGGGTATTCTGTAAATAATAGCTCAAAACATCCTAGCTGATACACTGAAATGTTCAAAGTAGGTAGTCTGTCCAGGCTGTATACTCCAGTCCTCCTCACCTACATCATTCCTACAGGAATCCAGTGTCCCTTAATGTACACTTTGTTCCAGGCATTTCCCCAACATCATTCCTAAACTCCATTCCAAACAGTTTGTCCTGGCTATACCAAGGTACTCGCTTTACCTAGAATATGTATGTAAAGCATCAAACACAGTACCTATTGCATAGCAGGCCCTCAGGAAATGCTAGTGCCCTTCTTCTTTTGCCCCCCTTCCCTCATCTATGACTTTGCAGACACAATCGCTTCAGCTTTCAGTGTCCATCTTTACATCTCCAGTGGGTGAAATCTTTATTGGCTTACATGCCACCTAGTCCATGAAGACCTTGCTGACAGCACTCCTACCTCTAGAATTAGCTGTTCTCCATGTCCTCATGCAGTCTTCTGATGCAGTCCTTATCAAACTGGACTGCAATCATACAATCACTTCTGTCTGCCTTACTGTGAGCTCCTTTAGGGCAGAAGAGTGGTGGGCATTGAGCTAAATTCTGGGAATAACACAATGAATAAGGCAACTCATCACCCTCAAGGAGTTTGAACTGAAGGAAGACACAGACAATCACAACACAGAGTGACAAACACTATTGATAAGTACAATATGCCAAAGAATCATGGGGGACCATGCCCCAACGCTGCCATAGATCACACCCTTAAAACTATGTTTAATTAACTGAACTACAGAGAAGCATCTCTCTCAATTGGCCCACGGACCCACCTTGGCTAGCAATGAATCCATCTCTGAAACTTAGCAGGGACAGGACTGGTGCTCCTGATCTGTGGATGATTTGTACTGGAGCCCTAGGATTCAGAAAGAGGGGAAATTTTACTTTCTTTCTTCAAAAGCAATACTTGACTATATTCAACATATAGTACTAACTATGTAAGAACAAACAGGATAAATGTGGAGAAAGATTAAACATTTCTATGGTTTCTCTCCTGGCAAGAACCTTAACTTGCAGATTAAGGTAATTCATTTAAAACCATCCATGTCTCTACACATGAACTAAGTCAGCACCCAAATCCTGAGTTTTTCGGGCAGGTATGATATACATTGAAGAAAACAATATTAGCAGTATATTAACATTTTCACTTAATGAAAGATTTGTTATAAAATATTAAAATTGTCAGGACTCTAAAAAGAAAAGGAATGCTGAGTGAGAATCAATTTAATATATATGTAAGGGTGATTTTATAATAGTGATCAGGGATTCCCTATCTCTGTGGAGGCAAAAAAAAAAAAAGAAGAAAAGAAAAGGAAAAAGAAAAAAAGCAAAAATTAAGTAACTGAAATAATGGAAGAAAAGGTATAAGCTAGTCACCATCTACAGGAATTTCTTCCCTGCTCTTGGAATAAACTTAGAATGACAGGTAAGGTCTAAGCGGCTCCTGTTTTCCTGTCTGGCATCACTTCTCACCACTGCCCCCATCTGCAAGGACCATACCCGTCAAAGACCCCTCAAAGCAACCCATCATCACATGCCTTCATATATGAGATTCTATACATGAGATTCTACAAATGAGATTCTACCGAGGCAAGCTCTTTTCCTCCTTAATTGGTAACTTCCTACTCAACAAGACCCAATATTTCTCATTTCCTTGGAGAAGCAGTCTTACCTCCTTCCCTCTCCTTTTCCTTAAATTTCTGTGGATAGTGCTGTCAGACAAGTGATCACACTGCACAATAGTCTTTTACTTGTGTTTACCATTAGATTCCAAGTGCCTCAACGGCAGAATCTGTATCTTTTATTTCTGTTTTTCAGTGCCCTGCACCAAGCCTGGTACCCACAGAAGCTACTCAATAAATATCAGTTGAAAAGGAAGGAAATGAAAGGAGGAAGGGACAGAATTGTAGAAATTGTTAAATCCTGCAACAGAGAGATTGTATGATTCTCTTTGGCAATCTTTATTTTTATTTATTTATTTATTTATGAGATGGAGTCTTGCTCTGTCATCCAGGCTGGAGTGTAATGGTGTGGTCTCAGCTCACTGCAACCTCTGCCTCCTGGGTTCAAGCGAGTCTCCTGCTTCAGTCTCCTGAGTAGCTGGAACTACAGGCGTGTGCCACCACACCTGGCTAATTTTTGTATTTTTAGTAGAGACAGAGTTTCACCACGTTGACCAGGCTGGTCTCGAAAACTCCTGACCTTATGATCCGCTTACCTTGGCCTCCCAAAGTGCTGGGATTACAGGCGTGAGCCACTGTGCCCAGCCGGGATATCTTTAAGACCAAGAAAAAGCCTGTTTTCGAAAAGTCATGATCAAAACTGCATAACAAACAGAGCTGGGTTCCTTGAACTAAAAATGATTAATCTTAGGCTAGCCAGGGTCTAAAGTCTGAGAAAATTACTGAGCTCTTTAAGGTTAAAAGTTATAGACAACCAATTTAAATGAAATGTTAGTTCATATTTAAGCTTAATTTTCAAAGCAATCGTTAGTCAGACAATCATGACAGTATGAATCATATTATCTTTTAATATGAGTCCAGGAATAATAAGAAGAATCAGAAAATTCGGACTGGAAAACCTTTATAAATGGAAAAATATACCCTTGATTCAATAGTCATCTATATGCTAGGCTAAATCAATGTTAAAGCCAATAAAAATTTCCACTCTGTAGAAGACCTACATCATGTAATGAATGGTGACTCACCTTGGACTCCTCACATCCAGCTGATAAATGTTTCCATCTTGAGTCCCAGCCAATAGCAAGAAGCCAGAGAGAAAAGTACAGCAGTTGAAAGCATCTGAGCCAATAAAGAGGAACACCTGGGAACAAGTAGTAGGCAAAAATGCTGTTTAAAGATTAGTTTGTTGGTGGCTCAAGCCTGTAGTCCCAGCACTTTGGGAGGCCGAGACGGGTGGATCACAAGGTCAAGAGATCAAGACCATCCTGGTCAAAATGGTGAAACCCCGTCTCTACTAAAACTACAAAAAATTAGCTGGGCATGGTGGCGCGTGCCTGTAATCCCAGCTACTCAGGAGGCTGAGGCAGGAGAATTGCCTGAACCCGGGAGGCGGAGGTTGCGGTGAGCCGAGATCGCGCCATTGCACTCCAGCCTCGGTAACAAGAGCGAAACTCCGTCTCCAAAAAAAAAAAAAAAAAAAAAGATTTGTTTGTTTCCAGGAATAAACAGGCACCAAAAAAGGAAAAATTTCACTATTTTTTGAGATATTTTCTTCCTTCCCCCCTTAATTATTCTCAAATGGTAAATTACACATTCACCAAAAACTGAGAAGCAGTACTCCCAGAATTTCAGGAACCTGAGGTTGGCTAAGGACTTGAGCAGTTTATGTAACATATTCTGAGGTGGCAGTTTTCCAACTACTACCACTCAACATACTGTCTCACAGGATCCTCACCATCAAAACTCCTTCTTTTCCCCTTTTTCATGACACCTTCTATTTGAGAGCCACGTGCAATTCTCCCATGTAAGTTTTGCTCCATGTTACTTCAACGTTTTGAAGGAGGGTATTTTGTAGGAAAATAAACAGGCTTAAATAAAGTAGCAATGTAAAGAATCACAATTCTCCCCATGAATCTGAGAAATATGTTATTAGATTTTCATTAATTCCTTACTGTTAGCTCAAACTGATGTCTTCCCCAAACATTCTAAAAAAAAAAAAGGCCAAAATCAAAATAAACAACCCTGGTTTCTCTCTGGAAGTAAAAGCCAGCATTAGCAAAAACTGTAATGTTCCTGAAACAAACTTTGAAAATGGAAACATCACCAGCACAATGGATTAACAAGAGGAAATGAAAACAGCAAACCCTGTGGCCAAAGCAAATCATTCCAGTTGTCTGGATGACGATTACAGGAGCTAGAAGGACATTTTAAAAATCTAATCTCTGGGAAGAGAGAATTTAGTTAAGAGCATAATCTGCCCAGAAAACTTCAGAGGATGTAGGAAGAAACTTCAACTAATAGTTCTGTTCATTAACTGATCAAGAGTCCTGAATGCATGAGTCCTTTTTTTTGAGACAGGGTCTCACTCTGGTTCCCCAGGCTGGAGTGGAGTGGCATAATCTTGGCTCATTGCAGCCTCGACCTTCCAGGCTAAGGTGATCCTCCCACCTCAGCAACCCAAGTAACTGTAGCTGGGATTACAGGTACATGCCACCATGCCCAGCTAATTTTTATATTTTTAATAGAGATGGGGTCTTTTGCCCAGGCCAGTCTCGAACTCCTGGACTCAAGCAATCCACTCTTTCTGGGCCTCCCAGAAAGCTGGGATTGCAGGCATGAGACCATGCCTGGTAACATGAGTTCTTTACTCAGAATTTTTTTACATTACCTTAGAGGTAGCAGGACTCATAAAGAAAGAAAAGCTATACAACTTCATCATTTTAGGTAGCACACTAAGGCCCAGAGAGGAAAAGTGACTTAACAAAGATCACAAAACACTAGAGCATTTAATCCTCAACACATACCCTATTATACCCAATTTAGTGAAGAAAAAACAGGCTCAGAGAGGTTAAGTAACTTGTCCAATGCTATAACCATAAAGTATTAATACTTCTATTAATAGAAGTACTGAGATTTATTTTATTATTATCTTCAAGTGTTGCACAAGAACTGGGATTTAGGGCCAGGCACAGTGGCTCACACCTGTACTCCCAGCACTTTTGGAGGCTGAGGAGGGTGGATCACTTGAGGTCATGAGTTTGAGACCAGCCTGGCCAGCATGGCGAAACTCTGTCTCTACTGAAAACAAAAAAATTAGCCAGGCATGATGGAAGGCCTGTAATCCCAGCTACTCGGGAGGCTGATGCAGGAGAATCACTTGAACCTAGGAGGCAGAGGTTGCAATGAGCTGAGCCAAGATTGTGCCACTGCACCCAGCCTGGGCAACAGAGCGGGCCTCTGTCTTAAAAAAAAAAAAAAAAAAAAGAACTGGGATTTAAATGTTGCCCTTATTTCAAATCCCACACTCTTTTTTTTTTTTTTTTTTTTTTTTTTGAGACGGAGTTTCGCTCTTGTTACCCAGGCTGGAGTGCAATGGCGCGATCTCGGCTCACCGCAACCTCCGCCTCCCGGGTTCAGGCAATTCTCCTGCCTCAGCCTCCTGAGTCGCTGGGATTATAGGCACACGCCACCATGCCCAGCTAATTTTTTGTATTTTTAGTAGAGAAGGGGTTTCACCATGTTGACCAGGATGGTCTCGATCTCTTGACCTCGTGATCCACCCGCCTCGGCCTCCCACAGTGCTGGGATTACAGGCTTGAGCCACCGCGCCCGGCCCAAATCCCACACTCTTAATCATTACTCTATACTGCCTCTTATGCAGGTTTCTCAAAAGTGAACACAGGGAACAAGTAGAAATGTTTCCAAAATAGCTTTCTAAGAAACAGAGTGACCAAGGTTGCCTCCGAGTTCAAAGGTCATATAGGAAGCACTTGCCGGCTGCCTGCTCTGTAGTCCCAAGCACTGAAGTTTCTTATCTTCCCGGGCCAACAGCAGCATTTTTGCCTCTGTTCCAACCTCCCGTTCACCTGCATGACAAATGAACTGTGTTAGTAACAGTGAGGCCGATCAGCTGGCAGTGCCCACAAAGCACCAATACTAATGGTTGATTGCTGATTATACTCTATGTTAGCAATTCACTTATTACAAAGAAAACATTTGTTATGTTCTGTATCTCACTGTGGTATTATTTACATAACTGGACATATTTGTCAAAACTTACAGAACCATACAATTAAAAAGACTGACTTTATTTTTACGTTTTAAAACTGTTTTTTGGCCGGGTGTGGTGGCTCACGCCTGTAATCCCAGCACTTTAGGAGGCCGAGGCGGGTGGATCACAAGGTCAAGAGATCGAGACCATCCTGGTCAACATGGTGAAACCCTGTCTTTACTAAAAATACAAAAAATTAGCTGGGCATGGTGGCACGTGCCTGTAATCCCAGCTACTCAGGAGGCTGAGGCAGGAGAATTGCCTGAACCCAGGAGGCAGAGGTTGCCGTGAGCCGAGATCGCGCCATTGTACTCCAGCGTGGGAAAAAAGAAAAAAACCAACCAAAAAAAAAAAAAAAAAAAAAAAAAAAAAGTTTTTTAATGGTATCCAATAGCCAAGGAGAAGCGTGACTTTTACCATATGTAAAAAATACCTCAGTAAATCCAAATTCATTTTTAAAATACGTGTGTGTGTTACTTGTTTTTGGTATGTTGTCCAGGGTGTAGTGCAGGAGCCATTCACAAGCACAATCATGGTACCCTACAGCCTTGAATGCCTGGGCACAAGCAATTCTCCTGCCTCAGTCTCCGGAGTAGCTGAGACTAAGGTGTGCACACCAGGACTGGCAATAAATCCAACTTTTAAAATATTAAGTTGTTTATACCGTGATAAGACACCACACTTGAAGCAGGGATACAATGCTGGAAAAAACAGTCCCTGACCTCAAAGATCTTACAGCCTGGAGGAAATGAAATTTATTCATTTACTCATCAAATATTTCTTTAGGGCTTACTATGTATCAGGCACTATTCTTTTTTTTTTTTTTTTTAACCATCATCTTCTATGTGATGACATCACATGCTATTCAAACTGCTAAGGAAATAGTGATGGACAAACAGATAAGGTCCTTACTCTCAAAGGGTCTACTGAATAGGTAAATAAACAAGTAGAACACTTTCAGAAAGTGATGAGTTCTAAAAGAAAATAAAATAGGAAAATAAGATCAGAAGTGAATAGATGGTGGGAGGCTAACTGGGGAGGGTAACTTTAAATTTAAACTTCAACTTTAGTTGTTTAAAAAAACTTTTGTATAGAGATGGGGGTCTCACCATGTTGGCCAGTCTGGTCTCAAATTCCTGGGCTCAAGCAATCTGTCCACCTCAGCCTCCCAAAGTGCTGGGATTACAGGTGTGAGCCACCATGTCCAGCCCAAACTTCAACTTTAAAAAGCCTCTATGGAGGTCACTTTTCTCTTTTTCTTTTGGAGATGGAGTCTTGCTCTGTCATCCAGGCTGGAGTGCTATTGCATGACCTCTGCTCATCACATCCTCCACCTCCTGGGTTCACACGATTCTCCTGCCTCAGCCTCCAGAGTAGATGGGAATACAGGCGTGCGCCACCACACCTGGCTAATTTTTTTTATTTGTAGAGATGGGGTTTCATCATGTTGGCCAGGCTGGTCTCAAACTCCTGACCTACTGATCCGCCCGTCTTGGCCTCCCAAAGTGTTGGGATTACAGGCGTGAGCCACCATGCCCGGCCTCGCTTTTCAACTGAATGGTGAGACCTGAATAATGAACAGAAACCAGTCATGTGAAGAGCTGCAGGAAGTATACTCCAGACTAAGGGAAAAAGAAGGCAAAGTCAGGCCAGGTGTGGTGGCTCATGTACCCAGAACTTTTGAGGCCAAGGTGGGTGGATCACTTGGGGTCAAGAGTTCAAGACTAGCCTGGGCAACATGGCAAAACCCCATCTCTACTAAAAATACAAGAATTAGCCAGGTACAGTGCCGTACACCTATAATCCCAGCTACTTGGTAGGCTAAGGCAGAATGGTTTGAACCCAGGAGGTGGAGGTTACAGTGAGCTGAGAATGTGCCACTGCATTCCAGCCTAGGTGACAGAGGGAGGCTCCATCTCAATTAAAAAAAAAAAAAAAAAAGAAGAAGAAGAAAGCAAAGTCCAGGAGACTGGGAGAGTCCACTGTATCGAAAGAAGAAACTAAAGGCCTGCAGCCAAAATGTAGTGGGCCTGGCAGAGGGTGGTATGACATGAGAATAGAGAGAAATGCCATGCCACGGTCAGAAAGTATAAGAGCTTGTTGCAAGCCATGCTAAGGGGTTATGATTTCAACATATGTATAAAGGGAGGCCACTGGAGAGTTTTAAGCAGGAGTATGACATGACTTATGATTTTCTTAAATGACCACAGTGATTGTTCTGAAAAGAATGGGTTATAGGAGAATAGTCTAGGCAGTAGTACAGGCAATAGATGATAGATTGGACCATGATGTTGGCAGAAGGAAGGGAGAGATGGGGAGGGAGAGAGAGAAATAGAAAAATTAGAAACACTTTGAAGTTAGAAGATGATAGACTTTGCTGATGTGAGACATGAGGAAAGAGGGGGTGAACTGTGAGTGAATCTCAAGCTTGGTGCTTGAGCAAATGGGTAGATAGTGGTGCCATTTTCTGAGATAAAAAAATAGTCTGGGGTGGGGAGGGGTAAAATACTCCTTGTTAAACAAGGTAAGTTCAACTTATTTATTAGACATCGAAATAGAGCCTGAAACTCAGGTAAGAGGTCTATGCTTTATATGAACTTTGGAAATCGTCATCAGTTTAAATAATGATAGCTATAGAATAGATGAGATCACAAAGGGAGAAACTGTAGTTACAGCTGAGGGCCCAGGACTTAATAGTGGGGCCCTCTATTATTTAAAGGTAGAAGAGAGGAGTTTCATAAAAGGAGATCTTTAAGAAGTAGCAGTCAATGAAATAGGAAGAAAACCAGTGTTGTGTGGTATCACAGAAGCCATGAAAGAAAAATGTTTTTTGAGGAGAGGGTTTACTACATGAAATACCACTGAATTCAGAAAGACAACCTTAGAGAAATAAGATTGGATTAGGCAATAGGAAGGTCACTGGTGGCTGGGGCCTGTAGATCATGCCTGTAAGCCCAGCACTTTGGGAGGCTAAGGAGGGGGCATCACTTGAGGTTAGAAGTTCAAGACCAGCCTGGCCAACATGGTGAAACCTCGGCTCAACTAAAAATACAAAAATTAGCCAAGCATGGTGGTGGGTACCCGTAATTCCAGCTACGCAGGAGACACGAGAATCACTTGAACTGGGAGGTAGAGGTTGCAGTGAGTTGAGAGATTGCGCCATTGCACCACTGCACTCCAGTCTGGGTGACAGAGCAAGACTTCATCTCAAAAAAAAAAAAAAAAAAAAAAAAAAACGAAGGTCACTGGCACTGGTGACTTTAACAACAGCTATTCTGGTCAAGTACTTGGGCATAAACCATCCTAGAATAGGCTGAAGAGTAACTGGGAAATTAAAAAGTACAGAAAACAAGAAATAATATTTTCATTTAAATTACTTTAGAGCCAGGAACAGTGGCTTATGCTTGTAATCCTAGCACTTTGGGAGGCTAAGATGGGAGGATCTCTTGAGGCAAGGAGTTCAAGACCAGCCTGAGCAACATAGCATGACCCTGTCTCTACAAAAAAAAAATTAGCTAGGTGTGGTGGTGCATGCCTGTAGTCCTAGCTACTTGAGAGGCTGAGAGGCAGGAGGATTGCCTGAACAGAGTACAGAGGATTTTTAGGGCTAAGAAACTACTATGTATGATACTACAATGGTGAATACATGTCACTGTACATTTGTCAGACCCTATAGGATGTATAATACCAATCCATACCCTAATGTATGGATTTTGGGTGATAATGATGTGTCACACAGGTTCATCAGCTGCAACAAATGTACCACTCTGGTGGTGGATGCTGACAGTAAGGAAGGCTATGTGTGGGTGGTTAGGGCAAAACTTTCTGCTAAATTTTGCTGTGAATCTAAAAGGGTGCTAAAAAATAAGGTCTATTTTTTAAAATGTGAGGGGCTCAGACAATGGTAGAAAAAAAAATTGTCCTATGGAACAGAAATGTAATTATTATCACAGAAAAATAAGAATTAAAGTTACCTTATTAGGACCTTTATTATTCTCTCACCACAGCTTTTTAACCCATTTCCCACTACTACCCCTCTAATTCAACTTTCTTTTTTTATTTGAGACAGAGTTTCGCTTTGCTCTTGTTGCCCACGCTGGAATGCAATGGCACAATCTCAGCTCACTGCAACCTCCGCCTCCCAAGTAGCTGGGATTACAGGCGCATGTCACCACACCTGGCTAATTTTTATATTTTTAGTAGAGACTGGGTTTCATCATATTGGTCAGGCTGGTCTTGAACTCCTGACCTCAGGTTATCCGCCTGCCTCGGCCTCCCAAAGTGGTGGGATTACAGGAGTGAGCCACCGCGCCTAGCCTCTTAAATCAACTTTCTAGCCCAGCCAAGCATATCCTTTTATATAACACTCAGTTTCACATCCAAGCTGTTATGCAAACTGCCCCTACACTTACCCCTTGCCCTAGCTCCCATTCTCCTATCCTTACCAATCCTGTCTGTTCAACATGAACCTATACTTTGAATGTTTAAGCCAATTTCTTTTGTGACATCTTTCCTATCTACACTAACCGGGAACACGCCATCCCTCTGAAACTATTATATTTGCATTAGGACTCACTAATTTGCCAGACATAGTGGTACACATATATAGTCCCAGCTATTAGGGAGGCTGTGGTGGGAGGGTCACTTAAGCCTAGGAGTTCAAGGCCAGCCTGGGCAAAACAGCAGGACTCTATCTCTAAAAGAATAAAATAAGTAAAAAAATCACTAATTATTTCAGCCAAAATGTTACTGTTCTCTAAATGTTTTACAGCAAGCTTGTCCAACCTGCAGCCCAGGATGGCTTTGAATGAGGCTCAATACAAATTCATAAACTTTCTTAAAACATTATAAGATTTATTTTTTATTTAGCTCAGCTATCATCAAGGTTAAGGGTATTTTATGTGTGGCCCAGGGAGGCCAAAAGATCAGACAATCCTGTTTTATAGGCATTTGTCTCATCTGCTAAATTAGATGGTACTTACTCAAACACAGTGCTATGACATATACTTCCTTTATAGATTCCAAAGCAATAGAAACATGGTAGGTACAGAATAAATACTAATTGTATGGTGAAAACAGAAATACCAGGTACAGAGCAGAAAAGGATGAGGAAGAAAACGGGAAACTAAGGCAAAAACTGAAGGGGACCTAAGAAAATAAAACAAGCTTACCTATCATTTTCAACTTACTGGGCATCTGCTCAGGAGAGCCAAGGTTTATGGAGTTGTCAGCAGCACCCACTGCCACTCCATTGATGGAAGAGCCACAGTCTGCAAGGACTCCCAAGCAGGCTGAGCGCCCACAATCCCAAAGTCGTGCCGTCCCATCTCGAGAACCAGATACCACATTCCTCCCCCGATCAACGATGGCTGTATCCAGGATACCTGGCAAGAGAAAAAAACTCCCTAAGATGGAGGATGGAGTAAAGGAATACAAGGGCAGAGAAGATGGAGCTGCATAAATGACTCCATCCCTTCACAAACATGTTCTGAACAGGTATCACATGCTGGCCACATTCAAGTGCTAGAAAAACAGGAATAAATAAGAGTCCCAGCTTCCCAATGTATCAATGTCTAGCTGTGAAAGAGAAGCATGGGAAAACAAGTTCTAGATTTAATTTTTAGTGAAGTATGCTAGAGCAGTCATGTTCAAGTTATTTTGTCTTCAAAACTCTTTTTTAAAAATAGATACCTTAACAAGAACTTTGGAGAAAAAAAAAAAAGTAGACACCTAAGATAATTCACTGCCTTTGGAAATCACTGCCTTGGCCAGGTGCAGTGGTACACACCTGTAATTCCAGCACTTTGGGAGACTAAAGCAGGAGAATCTCTTGAGCTCAGGAGTTCAAGACCAGCCTGGGCAACACAGCAAGACTCTGTCTGTACAAAAAATTTAATTCGGGCATGGTGGCTCATGACTGTGGTCCCAGCCACTCAGGAGGCTGAGGTGGGAGGATTGCTTGAGCCATGAAGTCAAGGCGGAAGTAAGCCATGACAGCTCCATGGCACTCTCGTCTGGACGATGGGGCAAGATCCCGCTATATATACATATAATCACATATATCCTGCTGCTGCTTTCACTAATAATTGATTAAAAGGGTTAGCCTCTCCATCTGAAAAATGATGTGACTTCTCGTTCTGGCCAAACAAGAGTAGTCCCTTTGCTCCTAGGTCCTTCCATTTATAACTGAAAAGTCATGAACACCGCAAGCATAGGAAGACTTGGAATGATAGAAAGAAGGTGGTGGAACAACACAGCAATGAGTTCCTGGATATCATTATTGCCTCCCACATAACCTGGACAGGACACTGCAGAAGCTTCCAACATGTAACTGCTAACAGGAACAGATTTAAAAAACGAAACTCCCAGTAAAGTCTGCTGCCCCTAGCCTAAAGACTGAGAAGTAGCAGCTCACAAAATAGAAATCTTCTTGGCAACATCCACCTTATGCCAGTAGACACCAACAGAAAAACTGTGACTCCTCCTCTGCCACGGTTTCAGTGGGGCTGAACAGGAGGTAATCATCTACCCCACTCCCGTGGAAGCGGGCAGCAGCACTTCCATTCCCCTACCCAGTGGGGTTGACCAGGCTAAGCAGTGGGGTTGACTGTCATCAGAATCCAGCAGTGAGCTCAGCTTCCATCCCCACCTGGCAGTGACAGACACAAAGAGGTGCCTGAGGTACTCACAACCCCTTTCCAGGTGTCAGTCAGCAGAGAACCGAGCTTATACTGCCACTAGGAGGCAATGAGGTGATGGAAGTCAGGTGGTGCAATCGTGTCCTACTTTTAGCAAGGTGACACAAGACCAAGGGGAAACTGAACTTCCACCTCCCCTGCCTGCAATGTGAGGCGGTGAGTCAGTGTTCCACTTTTGCCAGGGTAGTGACAGGGGAGCCCACTAGGAGGCTGAACGTTCTTATCTACCCAGTCCTCATACCGTACCTCAGCAGGGAACTGCCTGCCAAAAAAGATGACAGAATTAAGATCGAGTGGTATAATGTCCAAAATGTCCATGGATTTTAAAGTTTTTGAAGCCCTTTATTAGCTACAATCTGATACTTGCTATGGTACCTAGCTTCAGGAATACACAGCATAAAAAAAATAGAGTTAATTATAGACATAAAGACTTACAGTGGAAAAAAAGAGAAAAAAATACACAAACAGAATATGTCTGGGGGGAAAAAAAAAGACTTACAATACAATGGCACAGGTGTAAAAAAACAAAGTTGTCTGGAGCAGAGAGGTAGTGCAACCCTACCATGATCCAGGCAGGGCTAGTATTTGTTTTATTAAAACCCATTTAATGAAGCCTACTATAGGTGCCCAGTAAATTAAGAGTACCTGACCAAAGTTCACATAGCTAATTAGTGGTCTTTTGCATACTCTCATTTCTCTTAAAATGAAATGACTTCAGATACGTAAACCCTGACAAAAACTCTACAGAAACTCAGCATAACATACAAGTGCCAATCCAATGTGATTAACCACGTCTCTCAATTCTTATTGAAAATTTCATTTTGTTTAGAAAAAGATGAGTTTATGAAAATGCCACAACTTTAAAAAGTAGTCAGTTTAGGGCCTGTGTGGGAAAATATAATTAAAAGCAACTCAGGTGGCACCTAATCACTATAGTGTAACTTTTCAAATAGATCCAATTTAAAATAAAATAAAAACTAAATCCAGGCCAGGTACAGTGGCTCACAACTGTAATCCCAGCACTTTGGGATGCCAAGGTGGGCAGATCACTTGAGGCCAGGAATTCAAGACTAGTCTGGCCAATGCAGTGAAACCCCGGCTCTACTAAAATATAAAAATTAACCAGGTGTGGTGGCAGGTGCCTGTAATCCCAGTTACTTGGAGCCTGAGGCACAAGAATCACTTGAACCCAGGAGGCAGAGGTTGAAGTGAGCCAAGATCACGCCACTGCACTGTAGCCTGGGTGACAGAGGAAGGAAAAAAGAAAACCTAAATTCAATTTATACAGCTGACAATAGTTGTTGGGTAGATGTAATTCTCACAGCTCTATACCCACTGGATAAAGGCCACTAGAAAAAAAGATTTTTCAGTCTTCCTCTCAGGAACAGATCTATCAAGCCTATATGGTTTGCTGCCATCTTGTTTCTTATTTTGCAATTGGTCACTAAAGTATTTTGAGTTTGGAAAATCTATGTTTCTATTTTAACTCCATAATACATTCAGCAAAAATCTAATTAGAAAAGATCTTAGGGCTTTTAAGAATCCTAAGGAATTACCATAAGGAAGGTCTTTCAGCTCTTATTAAACAATTAAAGATCTCATTATGTCTCTACTGGGAAGTTCCAACCACTATTTCAAAATGCTACTGAGTTCCATGGAAGTGACACATACTTACGGAAAAAACAATTCTGAAAAGTATGTATGCAAGGCAGCGATTCTACAGCTGTGGCTAGAAAGCTGACTACATTATTAACTGTGCGTAAATTTCAAGCAATACTCAGCAAAGAGCTGCAATCTAGTTTTCTTTTACTTTTTCTTTTTTTTTTTTTGAGACGAAGTCTTGTTCTGTTGCCCAGGCTGCAGTGCAGTGGCACGATCTTGGCTCACAGCATCCTCTGCTGCCCAGGTTCAAACACTCCCCTGCCTCAGCCTCCTGAGTAGCTGGAAATACAGGTACACGCCACCACACCCAGTTAAGATTTTTGTATTTTAGTAGAGACGGGGTTTCATCATGTTGGCCAGGATGGTCTCGATCTCCTGACCTCATGATCTGCCTACCTCGGCCTCCCAAAGTGCTGGGATTACAGGCATGAGCCACCGCGCCTGGCTAATAGTTTTCTTTTTCTATGAAAGCAGAGTGGAAAATTATCACCCTCTCTTTAGTAAAATGTCATTCATAATATAACAGCATCTAGTACGGATCTCTTAACACTTAGATGACAAGAATAAAGAAAAGAAGAGCCAGGCCAGGTGTGGTGGCTCATGCCTGTAATCCCAGCACTTTGGGAGGCCAAGGCAGGTGGATGGCCTGATGTCAGGAGCTCAAGACTAGCCTGGCGAATACAGTGAACCACCGCCTCTCCTGAAAAACACACAAAAAATTAGCCAGGTACGGTGGTGCACGCCTGTAATCCTAGCTACTTGGAAGGCTGAGGCAGGAGAATCACTTGAACCAGGGAGGCAGAGGTTGCAGTGAGCTGAGATTGTGCCATTGCACTCTAGACCGGGTGACAGAGCAAGACTCCGTTTCAAAAAAAAAAAGAGGAGCCTAGAGAAGCGGGAACCTATGAAGAATGACTTTAGAAAGAAGATATGAAAGTAGCAATTTCAGCTGAGTGCAGTGGCTCATGCCTGTAATTCCAGCACTTTAGGAGGCCAAGCTGGGCAGATCATGAGGTCAGGAGTTCGAGACCAGCCTGGCCCCGTCTCTACTAAAAATTCAAAAATTAGCCAGGCATGGTGGTGTGTGCCTGTAGTCCCAGCTACTCGGGAGGCTGAAGCAGAAGATCACTTGAACTTGGGAGGCGAAGGTCATAGTAAGCCAAGATGTAGTGAGCCACTGCACTCCAGCCTAGGTGACAGAGCAAGATTCTGTCTCAAAAAAAAAAAAAAGAAAGAAAGTAGCAATTTCAAGGATGTCTTTCTAAGAGAAGTAGCCATAGCTGAGACTTTCAAGAAGCTGCAAAAATCTTTACTGTTATTTTTGTTTTGTTTTGCTGAGATGGCAGTCTCACTATGTTGCCCAGGCTGGAGTGTCATTGTTATTCACAGGCACAATTATATCACACTGCAGCCCTGACTCCTGGCCTCAAGAGATCTGCCTACCTTTGTCTCCCAGATAGTTGAAATTACAGGCATGCTGGAAAAGGCTTTAGATATCAAACCAAATAGATGCAAGTCTTTGGCATACAAACCAGAAAAGCAAAAGCATTTCCTTCAAGAAAAGATTCAGCAGAATCACAGACAAGCATCTCAGCCAAAGTCTGAAAATATGATTAACATTAGATGATAGATAAGAAAACAAAAACAAAAACAAACAAAAAAGAATAAATATTAGATAAAACTATTCCTGAAATAAATATTTGTAAAAAATAAAGCAAATTTCATATTCCCAGGTCTATATTCTTAACAAGTTTATTTAAATTATCTAGCTTCTCTATCATATTAAGCTATTTTAATGTTGCTAGGGAGCAATATACATACAAGTATATATGGGAAAATTAATGACTATGACTCGTATCTCCTAAAAAAATAAGCCTTGAAGCACCTCCTATTACTTGGAGGCAGCACAGCCTATTTCTAAGAAAGTATTTCAGACCTGGAAAATAATGGCCCAAGTGCTGAAACTGCAACCTGGTTTCTTAAAATTATCCTATAAATGTAAGAATTTCCACTACCATTGTGAGCAAAAAAACTAACTAGTTAACTGAAATGGGGTTTAATTTGGTCTCAATGTTTCACTGATTATGAAAGATGTAATGCTTATTATAAAAAATTAGGATTATAAATGTATATCCCCAAATGTAACAACCTTAATTAAATGGACTGGCAATTTAACTTCAAACTGATTAAAGTGCATTTTAGAGTTACTTATTGAAATCATATATTACAAACACAAAACTACTTTTAATCTATCTTTCCATTTGAAAAATTCAGCATACACATAGAAACCTTACTTCTGCTTGTTAATTAAGTAGAGAACACACTAACCCTTTAGTTATATATATTTAAATATACACATATACACACAGTATTGGGGGACCAATTTATATATATATAACTATATACACAGTTTTATAGATAGATAGATAGATAGATAGATAGATAGATAGATAGATAGATAGATTTTTTGAGATGGAATCTCACTCTGTTGCCCAGGCTGAAGTAAAGTGTCACAATCTCAGCTCAATGTAACCTCTGCCTCCCGGGTTCAAGCAGTTCTCCCACTTCAGCCTCTCAAGTAACTGGGATTACAGGCACGCAGAACCGCACCTGGCTAATTTTTTTATTTTTTTGTAGAGCTGGGGTTTTGCCATGTGGGCCAGGCTGGTTTCAAACTCCTGACCTCAGGCAATCTGTCCACCTTGGCCTCCCAAAATGCTGGGATTACAAGTATGAGACACCCTGTCCGGCCAATTCTGTTTTTTTTAATACAATTCATGGCTTTGGATAATAAAATGCTTCAAAGTCTCATAACTCAACAGTTTTTTTTTTTTTTTTGAGACAGAGTTTCGCTAGTTAGCCAGGCTGGAATGCAAGGGCACAAACTCGGTTCATTACAACATCCGCCTCCTGGGTTCAAGTGATTCTCTTGCCTCAGCCTCCCGAGTAGCTGGGATTACAGAAACCCGCCATCACACCCAGCTAATTTTTGTATTTTTAGTAGAGACTGGGTTTTGTCATGTTGGCCAGGCTGGTCTCAAACTCCTGACCTCAGGTGATCCACCCACCTCAGCCTCCCAAAGTGCTGGGATTACAGGCATGAGCCACTGCGCCCAGCCCAGTATTTTTTTTTTAAAGTCACACAAAGCAACTTGGAAATCACTTGATTGGAGACAGTGACATCAATCAATCTGTATGTTGCTAAGCTATCAGATCTATGTATATATATGCTGTTAAGCTATCAGAGATCAAATCTTGATTTTTGCCATGTTGTGAAAGAATGGGCAACCCCAAACCTGGGGCTACTTTATACAACCAACTAAAAAGGAACTTTCATGACCTGATAGAAGCTAGCCTGGATCTGACTTCATGTCATTTCTTCTAAAGTATATCATTCTGTTCACTCTAATAAAAACTCCCCTCCCAAGAAAAAAGTCAGGGCTGTTATACTCTGCAGAAGGTCCTACTCTACATCAGGACTTTCTTACAAGGTCACAAGAATGGAACAACTACATGAATAAAAGCTTAAATATAATTTGATTTAACATTCTGTTATTTAAGCTAAGAGTTATATATATATTCTTAGTAAAGAATGTTGGGAGACTCAGGATTCTGTAGAGGGCACAATAATTGCAGTGATCCAAAGGTATTTATAAACTGAGTGTGCACTGATATTGAATTTGCCTCTTGTTAAATTCAACATGCAGAGTCATGACTTGTTCCACTGAAATGTTTTCCTGTGCCCCACACATTCAGAGGGATGGCCAGATCTGAAGTGAAGCCTGCACTGTTCCTCTAGACTCTTCTGGCTCCTGGACTCCCCAGATTTGTAGGCCATTCTGACTCCTTAAATCTCTCAGTTCTTCAGGAGGTGATGAGTTCTTCAGTAACATGAGGAAGGCTCTGAATATTGTTTCTATTCCCTCTCAATGTACCCATTTTCTTATAGTAATAGAAGTAAACTATTTATATACTTAGGTTAATGTATATGTTTGCTAAAACATCAGCATGTAATCTGACAAACTGTTATAAAGAAATACTAAAACTTGGCCGGGCGCGGCGGCTCATGCCTATAATCCCAGCACTTTGGGAGGCAGGTGGATCATGAGGTCAAGAGATCGAGACCATCCTGGTCAACATGGTGAAACCCTGTCTCTACTAAAAAATACAAAAATTAGCTGGGCGTGGTGGCATGCGCCTGTAGTCCCAGCTACTCGGGAGGCTGAGGCAGGAGAATTGCTTGAACCCAGGGGGCGGAGGTTGCGGTGAGCTGAGATCACGCCATTGCACTCCAGCCGGGGAAACACGGGCGAAACCCTTTCCAAAAAAAAAAAAAAAAGCAATATTAAAACTTAAAACAGGCCGAGGCAGATGGATCACGAGGTCAAGAGATCAAAACCATCCTGGCCAATACGGTGAAGCCCCGTCTCTATTAAAAATACAAAAAATTAGCTGGGCATGGTGGCTTGCAACTGTAGTCCCAGCTGCTCAGGAGGCTAAGGCAGGAAAATCACTTGAACCCAGGAGGTAGAGGTTGCAGTGAACCGAGATTGCGCCATTGCACTCCAGCCTGGTGACAGAGTGAGACTTTGTCTCAAAAAAAAAAAAAAAAATCAGCCAACCAACCAAACAAACACAAAAAACAAAAAACTTAGAATTTGGGCTGGGCGAAGTGGCTCATACCTGTAATCCCAGCACTATCGGAGGCTAAGGTAGGCAGATCACTTGAGGTCAATTTAAGATCAGCCTGGTCAACACAGCGAAATCCCATCTCTACTAAAAAACACAAAACGTAGCTGGGTGTGGTGGTGCATGCCTGTGATTGCAGCTATTTAGGAGGCTGAGGCACAAGGATCGCTTGAGCCCGGGATGGGAAGGGTTGCAGTGAGCTGAGCTGGTATCACTGCACTCCAGCCTCGGCCACAAGCAAGACTCTGTCTCAAAAAAAAAGAAAAAAACAGGAAAAGAAAAAAAGGCAAGGCACAGTGGCTCACACCTGTAATCCCAACACTTTCAGAGGCTGAGGTGGGTGGATCACCTGGGCCAGGAGTTTGAAACCAGCCTGACCAATATGGTGAAACCCCATCTCTACTAAAAATATAAAATTTACCTGGGCATGGTGGTGTGTGCCTATAGTCCCAGCTACTTGGGAGGCAGAGGTTACACAGTGCCAAGATTGCGACATTGCACTCTAGCCTGGGTGACAGAGCAAGACTCCGTCTAAAGAAAAAAAAAAAGCTAAGCTGGGTGCGGTGGCTCACGCCTATAATCGCAGCATTTTGGGAAGCCGAGGTGGGCGGATCACCTGAGGTCAGGAATTCGAGACCAGCCTGGCCAACATGGTGAAACCCTGTCTCTATTAGAAAAAAAAAGAAAAAATAAAGCTTAAAGCTTGATTTCCACACACAAGTTACTCACAATGTACACAGAGTTAAAAATACCATAAGTAGAAGGCAATACATAATTAATTCCTAAATGAGTGGTACAGACAATATGTATTATGGTTCCAGAAGAGGGATCAAGGAATTATTTGGGAATATTATTATATCTTTAAAAAATATCCAAATTTGTAAAATAAGAATAGCATACTTATCTACTTATCCCCTTTTTAATATTCCAATTAAGTATAAAACGTATCTAAAATATATATTTTCCCTGCAAAAGTCAGTTACAAAGGGAAGATATTCTCACTCTATCTCTGTAATCTGATATTAACAGGTTATATGGCTAATCCATTTTTAAAACATGAAGTGTAATTTAAATCTATGAGAATCATAAAGCTCTATCTATAACGTCTGATGATGCAGCCGTTAACCATCCAGCTTTTATGGTCCCCTCAGCCAGAAGACGAATATGAGAAAATGTAGGCACACCTCCTTCTCTCTTACTCTATGTCCCAGCACACAAGTATATGATTTCCTGGGGAGGCTTTTTTTTTCCTTTATCAATTGTGGAAAACAACTGATAAAGCTGGGATTACAGGCATGCACCACTGCACCCAGCTAAAAAAGGCTTTAGATATCAAACCAATTGTGTAAGACAGTTCAAGATAGCAATAAAAAGACTGTATGGCAAAGGAATTTCTAGTCCTTTGGGAAATGGCAGCTCATCAAAATGCCCATCTGGGAGGATTATTTGTATGTCTGTAAATAGCTAGCTTCTGTTTCTACCTTTTCAGTGATTCATCTCTGGGGATCATTAGAGAAGCCTTTTGGAGAAACCACACTTCATACCTCCTTTGTGACCTTTGAAGGTCACCACGCAGCTAGCATCTTCAGCTGACCATATCTTCAGCTGGGCATCCATTCCCCCACTCAGAACCACAAGGCCTGAGGGGAAAAACCTGCAACAATTCACATCAAACACATGTCCTTCCAATACTCTCTGGAAAAACAAAAGAAAATTCCATGCTAGTTCTCTTGTCCATCCCTGATGTTCTCTTACCTCCCATACTCTGGTCCCTGATATGAAATACCTACTTGCTAAACCCACATGCTAGGTTTTAAGACTAAGGATATCCAAAGGATCTCTTAAATTATTTGTCTAACAGATAGTGTTCCCTTTCCTGGAATTCAGCTATAGAGGTTATAGAATTGAATTCCATGTAAAAACACCCCAGAACCTAGCTTAAAAAAAAAAAAAAAGAATTCCACGACTCTCACAGCCATCTCTAGGTCTAGTTATAAGAACAAAGAGCTGAGGTGGCTTGGAGACTTTTTACTCATCTGTGTTTAAAATCCTTTGTAAAGGTTGGAGGCTCAGCCAGAGATTCAGTCTAACAGCTAAGCTATTGTGTCTTGGAAACTGATCACTGAAAGCAACAAGGGCACACCCACTTAGACGTTCCCTGGCCTGACTCCTTAACTGCTCCAGCCCCACTCTGTTTTGCCAAATCCCTAAGCTTGAGAATGGTTCTCCAATTAACAGATGGGAGGCCAGGAGCGGTGGCTCACACCTGTAATCCCAGCACTTTGGGAGGCCAAGGCGGGCAGATCACTTGAGGTAAGGCATTCAAGACCAGCCTGGCCAAAATGTCGCAAGCCCATCTGTACTAAAAACACAAAAATTAGACGTGTGGTGGCACATGCCTGTAATCCCAGCTACTCAGGAGGCTGAGGCCCACGAATCACTTGAACCCAGAAGGCAGAGGTTGCAGTGAGCTGAGATTGCACCACTGCACTCCAGCCTGGGCGACAGAGTAAGACTCTGTCTCAAAAAAAACAAACAAAAAAACACACAAATGGGAGAAAAGAGATCAACTGACATGCAGAGTGGCCCCACATTTTTAGAATAGGCCATTCTTCCTTCCATGTCACAGTCCAAGGCTTCTCAGACCACCCTTTGTGTGTAAGACCCTAAATGCATATCCAAATTATTTACTCTGAGTTCTCCATTGGAAGCCTGCCAGATTTTCATGGTTCCATCAGTACTAGAAGACACACCAAGACCTCCTCCACTGGAAATGTCCAGGCATGTTATCTGTTCAAAGACAAAACAATGTGTTAGAAGTAATGAAATACTCTTATTCCCTTGAAATATGTTATAAACCTCCCTTGTTTCACTCTTCCAAGACTTCTTCAAGCCTGTGTTTCCCAAGAAAAGGACTTGTGTTTGATGTAAAGGTTGAGTTATCATCACCAACCTCCCAAGAAGGCTGAAGTAAACACCTTCAAACAAAAAGATATTCCTCTAATCATCTGTAGTCTCCTGCTTCAGCTAAAAAGTTTTCCCTATTCCCATTTCATCTCCATAGTTTCATGTGTTGCTATTTTATTTATTTATTTTTGTGACAGTTTTACTACCATCACCCAGGCTGGAGTGCAACCGCCTGATCTCAGCTCACTGCAACCTCTACCTCCCAGGCTCAAGCAATTCTCCTGCCTCAGCCTCCTGAGTAGCTGGGACTACAGGTGCACACCACTGTAGCTGGCTAATTTTTGTGTTTTTTTTGTAGAGACAGGGTTTTGCCATGTTGCCCAAATTAGTCTCAAACTCCTGAACTCAAGTGATCCTCCTATCTCAGCCTCCCAGAGTGCTGGGATTATGGGCATAAACCACCACGCTCAGCCCTGCTATTTTATTTTAAAATTAAGACTAGGCGCAGTGGCTCACACCTATGTAATCCCAACACTCTGGGAGGCCAAGGCAGGAGGATCACTTGAGCCTAGGAGTTCGAGATCAGCCTGGGCAACATAATGAGACCCTATCTCTACAAAAACAATTTAAAGTAAATATAAAAAGTAAAAAGAAAATTAAGATACCTCTCCTAATTCTTAGAAAGCCACTTACACAAAAAATAATGTTCTAAGATGCACCAGGAGGATTCAAGGAAGAGCAAAGATATTTCCACATATATCTATATATAGGTATATCTATAGAAAATATAGAGATATAGATCTTCCAGAATAAAGAATAGAGAAATTTCAGTCACTTTTTGTTTTCCAAATTCATTTTAACTCATTCATTCTTTCTTTCCTTTCCTCCTTCCTTTCTTTCTCTTTCTTTCTTTTCCTTTCCTTTCCTTTTCCCTCTTCCCTTCCCTCTTCCCTTCCCTTCCCTTTCTTTTCTTTTCTTTTCCTTTCTTTTCTTTTTTCTTTTCTTTTCTTTTCTTTTCTTTCCTTCTTTTAAGACAGGGTCTCACTCTGTTACTCAGGCTGAAGTGCAGTGGTATGATTACAACTCAGTGCAGCCTCAACCTCTCAGGAACAAGTGATCCTCCTGCCTCAGCCTCCCAAGTAGCTGAGATTACAAACATGGGCTGCCATGTACAGCTAATTTTTAAACTTTTTTTCTTTTCGGAGAGATGGGGTTCCCCTATGTTGCTCATGCTGGTCTTGAACTCCTGGGATCAAGCAATCCTCCTGCCTCAGCCTCCCAAAGTGCTAAGATCACAGGCGTGCGCCACCACACCCAGCCTCACTTTTATAATTTCAGTATCAGCAATCACTTCACATATAGGCCATGATCAGAATAACAAATCTTTTATACAAATGCATACAAGTACCCTTTTATTAAAAAACAACCAGCTGCAAATGCTCCGGAAATGTGAGACCAAGACATTTAATTCCAGACACATTCCCAGCAACAATAATTCCCACATAAGTTATTAAGAAAAAAGTAGGAACTTTGGCTTTAATTATCCAACTTTGTATTTCACTTTGTTCTATGCCAATTAAGCCATAATGAATAAGTTTGGCAAGAACTAGAAGGATATATCCACCAACTCTAACATTGTCTAAGACTTTTCTTCTTTATTTTGCTTCCTCAGAATAAAAGGACTGCTAACTTCTAGTGGATCCCTTACTTATAGCAACATACTTCAAATTCTTTCCTGATACAGGTGGCATCTATCCAACTGCTTGCTAGTAGGCAGTGGACACCTAGGCTACAGTGGACACCTCAAACTGAACATGTCCAAACAGAACTTTTATTTCCCCTGCCCCATCCCAATACAACTGCTCCTCCTCCAATTAGTAAATGGAACACAATTTACCTGCTTCTCAGGCCAAAATTTTTTGAATCATCCTAACTCCTCATTTTCTCTCATACCTAACATCCAAGTCATCAGCAAGTCGTGTCTGGTCCCACACCTCTAGAATGTAAGCTCTACAAGGGCAGTTTCATTCATTTTATTCAGTGCCCAGAAGAATAGCTGAAATATAGTAGGTGATGAATAAATGGATGAATCATCTTTCAGTAAGCTCAAATAAAAAGAGAATAAGAAATAGAAAAGGAGCATAGTTAATTTTTGTTTGTTTATTTGTTTTTCAGACATGGTCTTGCTCTGTCACCCAGGCTGGAGTGCAATGGCACAATCAGCTCACTGAAGCCTTGACCTCCTAAGCAATTCTTCCATCTCAGCCACCCAAGTAGCTGGGACTACAGGCACACATTACCACATCCAGCTAATTTTGTTTGTTTGTTTATTTATTTTTTTGAGTCAGAGTCTTGCTCAGTCACCCAGGCTGAAGTGCAGTAGCATGATAACGGTTCAATGCAAACTCTGCCTCCTGGGTTCAAGTGATTCTTGTGCCTTAGTCTCTGAAGTAGCTGGGAGTACAGTTGTGTGCAACTACGCCCAGCTAATTTTTGTATTTTTAGTAGAGATGGGTTTGTGCCATGATGCCCAGGCTGGTCTTGAACTCCTGGCCTCAACTGATCTGCCTACCTCAGCCACCCAAAGTGCTGGGATTACAGGTGTGAGCCACCACACCCAGCCTATTTTGTTTATTTTTTTTGTAGAGATGAGGTCTCACTATGTTGCCTGAGCTGCTCTTGAACTCCTGAACTCAAGTGATCCTCCCACCTTGGCCTCCCAGAGTTCTGGTTACACCCAGAGTGCTGAGCCACCATGCCTAGCCTGTTAATGATTTTTAAAATGACTTATTTCCCAAAAGGTGAGTGGCTTTCCCAACTCTCCCAGAGGTTAATCGCCTCCTCCCTCAGTGAAAGCAGAAAATAATAAAAAATGATGTATAAAGTCCAGGCATAGTGGCTTATACCTATAATCCCAGCACTTTGGGAAGCCAAGGAGAGAGGACCGCTTAAAGCCAGAAGTTTAAGAACAGCCTGGGCAACAGAGTGGGATTCCACCTCTACAAAAAATAAGAATAAAAATTTTTAGGCCAGGTGCAGTGGCTCACACCTGTAATCCCAGCACTTCCAGAGGCCGAGACGGGTGGATCACTTGAGGTCAGGAGTTCAAGACCAGCCTGGCCAACATAGTGAAACCCTGTCTCTACTAAAAATACAAAAATTATCCAGGTGTGGTAGTGGGAGCCTGTAATCCCAGCTACTCAGGAGACTGAGGGAGGAGAATCGCTTGAACCCAGGAGGCAGAGGCAGAGATTGCAAGAAACTGAGAATGTGCCACTGCACTCCAGGATGGGGGACAGAGTGAGACTCCATCTAAAAAAAATAATCCAGGTATGGTACATGAACCTCACAGTTCTAGCTACCCAGGGGGCTGAGGTGGGAGGATCATTTGAGCCTAAGGGTTCAAGGCTAGAGTGAGCTATGATTGTACCACTGTACTATCTGGAATTGCCAAGGACCTAAAATAGCCAAAACAATTTTGAGAAAGAGAAACAAATTTGAAGGACTTACACTTCCTATTTTATGATTTATTATAAAATTGCAGAGATCAAAACAATGTAGTTTTGGTATACAGAGACTAGAGAAAGGAAGAGAATAGAGAGCACATAAATAGAATCACACATATATGGATAATTGATTTTTGATAAAGGTACAAAGGCAATGCAGTAGAGAAAGAATAGTCTTTTCAACAAATTGATTTTTGATAAAGGGAGACAGACTGAGATCCTATCTCATTTTTTTAAAATGATACATAAAGATCTACATTTTATCTTAACTAAAATAGATAAACATACATTAAAATTCACTAACTTTTCGTTAGTCCACTGATTATTACAAGGGCCTTGGCTTTCTTGTAATAAAATATTACCAAAAGGCACAATTTACAATTTCCAGTTTCTTTAAAGCAAGGCAAATCTTTACTCACACTTTCAAAGCAATCTAAGAGCAAAAATTCAACTAGGGTTGCTTTTTGTTTTAATTTTTTCCTGAACATTTTGCATTTATCTTGCCCATGCATGCTATCAAAGCAGTTTTAAAAAAAATCATCTTTATCACATCTTTACAAAGCAATAAACTTAGTTTTTGTTTTTTGGGTTTTTCTTGAGCCAGAGTCTCTTATCCAAGCTGGAGTACAGTGGCACAATCATAGCTCACCAAAGCCTTGAACTCCTGAGCTCGAACAATTCCTCTCACCTCAGCCACCAGACTAGCTGGGACTACAGGTGTGCATCACCATACCTGGCTAATTTTTAATTTTTTTTATAGAGATGAGGTCTCACTATGTTGTCCAGGCTGGTTTTGAACTCTTGAGCTGAAGTGATCCTCCTGCTTAGGTCTCCCTAAGTGCTAGGATTATAAGCATGAGCCATCATGAGCCATCACGCCCATGTTTAGTTTTTTTTTTAATTTTTTTTATTTTTTTTGGAGACGGCATTTCACTCTTGTTGCCCAGGCTGGAGCGTAATGGTGCAATCTGGCTCACTGCCACCTCCACCTCCTGGGTTCAAGCGATTCTCCTACCTTACCCTCCGAGTAGCTGTGATTACAGGCACATGCCACCATACCTAGCTAATTTTCGTATTTTTAGTAGAGACAGGGTTTCATCATGTTGTCCAGGCTCGTCTCGAACTCCTGACCTCAGGTGATCTACCCACCTCAGCCTCCCAGCATGCTGGGATTACAGGTGTGAGCCACCGTGCCTGGCCTAGTTTTCAAGTAAATAATTGCTCTCTGATTTTCACATTCATATTTTATTGATTTAACATAATATTTAATTAATTTATATAATTCCAAAAATAACATAACTGGCATTAAAACTGACTCTTGATAAACATTCAACCTAACAGTACGTTTTACATAGGAAATGCAGAGCAACAACTGACTCTATATATCAGTTAAGTGGAGATGCATTAGAACACACCCAAAGCCTTAGAATTCCCACACCCTATGACGCTGAAATTCCACTTTTACAAATATATTCTAATTTCTTCCTATCTTTGGGAGCAAAACTTTAGCTATAAGTATATTCATAAAAATACAAAATCACAAAACTGGAAACACCTGAATGTCCAGTAATACAAAACTGGAAAATTATAGTAAACTAATCAACAGAATATCATACAGCTCTTAGAAGAATACATCAAAGATAGTATAGAATAATGAACATACAATTAAGTATTAAAAAGCAAGCTATAAAATAGCATGTAGGGTAAAAACCCATTTTGGTAAAATATTTAAGGAAAAGACAGAGTATTAAGTAAAATGATGATATATAGAGTTGCCATGGTGCTGGCTCATAGCAGGCCATCAATAAATGTGAGCTTTACTACTATGATTATTATTTAAAAGGGATATACAGCAAAAGTTCCTAATAGTTATCTTTAGAATATAGAAATATGAGTGATTCTCACTTTTTTTTCACATCCTAAATTTTCATCACTAAGTATGTATTTGTTTTGTAATAAGGATAAAAAATAGCTTTTTCTTTTCTTTTTTTTTTTTTTTTTTTTTGGGTGAGACAGTGTCTCATTATGTTGCCCCAGCTGGAGGACAGTGGCGTGATCATGGCTCACTGCAGCCTCAACCTCCTGGGTTCAAGCAATCCTCCTACCTCAGCCTCTGGAGTAGCTGGGACTACAGGCATGTGACACCATGTCTGGCTAATTGTTGTATTTTTTTGTAGAGACAGAGATTCACCATGTTGCTCAGGCTGGCCTTTAACTCCTGAGCTCAAGCGATCCACCCACCTCAGCCTCCCAACGTGCTGGGATTACAGGCGTAAGCCACTGTGCCCGGCCAAAAATAGCTCTTTTAAAAACGTACCACACAGTAAGAAGTGAATGGCTTCAATATAATCAGTTTATCCACCAATTTCTCACTTCTGCTTCCAAGAAGCCCATGGTAGTAGAAAAGGCTTTATTACAATGACCTTTGAAAATTACTCCTCAATGTGGTATATTTGAAATTTTGAGAAAATGTTCCTGTCCTTTAGGAAAAGGAATATAATATGAGCAGCAGCAATATTATGTAAGCATCAACTATTACAAATTTATTTTTATTTATTTATGTTTTGGAGACAGAGTCCAGGCTGCAGTACAGTGGCACAATCACAGCTCACTGCAGCCTCCAACTCCTGAACTCAAACAGTTCTCCCACCTCAGCCCCCTGAGTAGCTAGGACTACAACTATGTACCACCATGCCCAGCTAATTTTTATTTTTTTGTGGAGACAGAGTTCCACTCTGTTGCCAGGGTTGGTCTCAAGCTCTTGGCCTCAAGTGATCCTCCTGCCTCTGCCTTCCAAAGGGCTGGGATTGCAGGTGTGAGTCACTGCACCTAGCCAAGCATCAAGTATTATATAATTATATGAAAGCTGGTAACTCTCCTAAAACATATATAAGGAAACTTCATATAATCTCTAAGATTACCAGTGAGTAGATTTGAACACATATTCTATGTGGACTTGAGTACCAGTTTTGCCAAACATGTACTTCACCAAACATGTATCATCTTACAACGCAAAGTAAATGAAAGACATATTAATTATGAATATGTTTATGGCACTAAACAAGCAAAAGGAAAAAATAACAGGCTATTATATTTTTTCTTCTTTTTTTTTCAAAATACTTACACTCTTTGTATGAATTCTGGAAAAAGTAGTATATGGTGCCAAAAACTTAGAAGATGTACTTTCCTTTGGACATGAAATATGAATGCTTTTCTAAACAAAGAAGAAAAAAATGAGAATTGTCAGTAAAACTTCTCCAATATATTATAATTAAAGCCTCTTAAAGAAAACATTAGGACTACAGGACATTCTTCTCAGTGTATCCTCTCTCATCCTCCTTTCCCACCCCACTGAACTATCCCTCCCACATAGATCAACAGTCCTTTTAAACTGTTGAGGGCTACAGTGTAATTTGGTATTGCTAGGATGCCACTATCTTTTTGTGTTCAAAATAAATTGCTCCACAGAAGACAGACACCAATAAATATGATACAACCAACAAGCATTAGAGCATTATTTTTAGAAGAAAATCTAGTACCAATACTTGCAGTTAGCAGTGGGACAAGGAACAGGATCAGCAGAAGAGGACATAAAGAGATGTAAGAAAACTAAGTATCAGCTCCCAAGCCTAGGTCTTAAAAGACAAGTCTAAAAGTAAACTTGCGGCCTATAAGAACTTTTAGAAAGTATCATTGGCCATTGGTGATAAACAAACAAACAAACAAAAGAATGTCAGACTACTGACAGTTACAATGTCAGAGGAAATTGGTAAAGTAAATTATGGTATACCCACAAAGTGTATACGCCTGGGTCAGGCTTGCAGTGCCTATTCCCACCGAAGACTTAAACTGACTGTAGATGTTCACAGACTGTTTATTGTAACACAACTATATTTAGATGCCTCATGTGTTCTACCTAGTCATTATCACCTGTCTTTCAGTTACTGTGGGAAGATAACACTGGTGGCATATTAGGAAAGTATACCTAGAACTAGATGTTAGATTCAGGAGACATGACTTACCAAGGGCTATATGTAACCATTTTAGGTAAGAATGTTGGCATTTCAAGGTAGCATATGTAGAGGTAAAAAAAGGCTTGGTAAACCCTTCCTCAAGGATTCTTGCAATATGACAGTCCCTTACTCTAACCAGCATAACACCAATACTATTACCTAAATATAGATCTCCTATAAGGAGCTGAGGAGCTGTACTCACCAAAGGACCCCTAACCTTTTATCTCTTCTGCAGTAGTACTTCAAAGTCTCTGGTAATTCTTTAGGACAATGAAAATGTCTTCAGGAATAAAAATTTTCTGAACCTCTTTATAACAAACTAGCACTGGTCCTCACGGTTCATTAGAAAGAATGGTTTCAAAGTCAAAATATTCTCATCACTGAAAATATGCTCGTTACAGATCATCTACTCCTTAAAATGACAATTACATTATCTACACAAACAGCACTTTCTTAGCCAGCATATCCATGCCTGGCTGCCTGCAGGCCTTTCATTAAATGAGTTTTTGCTTCTAACTACGTGACAAAGCCCATATAGCTGCAAGAGTGCTGGCCTGGATTTGGAACTGCCTCTTGTACCAGAAACTAAAGTGTCAGCTAAATTCTCTTGGCTGAATATTCATACTAGCATGGATGCAAGGAGCTTCAAAAGCTTTGTGTTTGGGCCTCTGTAAGAATTAGGTTTGCTCTCAGAAGACTTCATTTCTTTGGAGCTATGTGACAGATTTCAATAATCAGTACTTTTCTCCTACTTTGCAATCTTGAAAATCAACCTTTAATCCATAAACAGACTACAAAGGAAGATAAATGTTAAAATATCTTCCAACATTAGCAGTGGGCAATCATGCTGTTAATGAAAATATTTTAAAGAAAAACAGCAAGAGAGATGAAAACAGACAAAATCTAAGGGGAAAAAGTGTGAGTATGCTGCACCAAGATAAAATTCTAAGTCAAACTTCTTTTATCCTCCAGGGTTAGATAGTTAAGCATAATGGCAGATTGACTGTTTAAGAGAACAATGTAGCAATATCAAATAGCAAAGTGACTCATGACAGTTAGGAAACAAATGAATGTGCAACTATAAGCACTTACTGTCTGAACCCACCCAGCAGGTTCACAGCAAAAATTAGCAACCATGTTTGAAGTGATAAGGACTGTATCCAGGTCTGAGTATGAAGGGACGAAAGAAGTCAGCACCCAAGCTGTGTCAAAATACCTGGGAAAAACGTAGACTTGCATGGTAGTGCTAAACTTGGAATCAACAGAACTGGGTTTCAATTCCAGCCCACAGTCTGATTTTGATTATTAGAAATTAATTAACCTCTCTGAGTCTGTTTGCTTATCTGCAAAATGGAAATTTAAAGTGCCAATCCCACAGGATTGTTATGGTAAACAACCAAAACTAACTTTTGTAGTATTTTACAGATTTATCCACATGCAGTCTCACTCCCCATTAACCATTCTATGAGGTAGAATAGGCTCTCAGCTTTATTGATGAGGAATTGAGACTCAGAGGACTAAGTTATTTGTCCAGAATCACAAAGCTAGTAAGCGTCAGAGTTAACTAAGACTTAGATCTTCTGACACCTATAATACCCACAGCTGTTTATGAAAAACAAGTATAAAATATGAAATAACATGTAGCCTACTATCTGGCCCAAAGAGAGTAATGAATGAACATTTGCCAAAAATCTTATGTAAAAAAAAAAGCATTCTCTGTTCTTGTCAGTATACCCAAAATATTTTTTATAACTAAAAAGTTTAATTACACAAAAAATGAAAAATGAAAAAAAAAGCTGGTCCACCCTTTGGGAATCATCTCACCAGAGCATACCGACTGCAGCAGTCAGAATGAGTAGGGAGAGGCAAATCATGGGTTCTCCAACACTGCTTACCCATCTACTCACCTCAAAGACAAACAAGAAAAACTGTTCATGTAGGCTCTTCATCAAGGCCTCACCAGATACAGATTATACTATGTTGTTCAGTATAATAGGTAACAGCCGTATCAGGCAACTGAGAACTACTTGGATACAGGCATCTCTGTTTTCAACTGTATATTTTATAAAATCTAAATACAGATCAAGTATTTCTAATAAAAATTAGAATCTGAACTGAGATAAGCTGTAAAAGTAAAATATACATGGGGTTTTGAAGACTTAAGAAAAAGGAATGTAAAATATCTCTAATAATTTTTAATATTATTTATAGGTTGAAATAATGTTTTAGATATACTAGGTTAGATCAACTATATTATTAAAATCAATTTCCCTGTAATCCCAGCACTTTTGGAGGACGAGGCGGGTGAATCATGAGGTCAGGAGTTCGAGACCACCCTGGCCAAGATGGTGAAACCTCGTCTCTACTAAAAATACAAAAATTAGCCAGGCACGCTGGCAGGCACCTGTAATCCCAGCTATTTGGGAAGTTGAGGTAGGAGAATCGCTTTAATCTGGGAGGCGGAGGTTGCAGTGAGCCGACATCATGCCATTGCACTCTAGCTGTACAACAGAGCAAGTCTCCATCTCAAAAAAAAAAAAAAAATCAATTTTGCCTGGATGTGATAACACATGCCTGTAATCCCAGCACTTTGGGAGGCTGAGGCAGGTGGATTGCCTGAAGTCAGGAGTTTGAGACCAGCCTGGCCAACATGGTGAAACCTTGTCTCCACTAAAAATACAAAAAATTAGCCAGGTGTGGTGGCGGACGCCTGTAATCACTGCTACTAGGGAGGCTAAGGCAGGAGAATCACTTGAACCCAGGAGGCAGAGGTTGCAGTGAGCCAAGATAGTGCCATTGCGCTCCAGCCTGGGCAACAGAGCAAGACTCCGTCTCAAAAAAACAAAAACAAACAAACAAACAAACAAAAAAATCCATTTCATCATTTATTTTTTTCTCTATAATGTGGCTACTAGAAAATTTTAAATTACACATGCATCTTGCATTATAAGAGCTAATATAAGAGAAGTAAGAGGAAGTCTGATTGCACTTAAAAGTATATGATAAGGGCCGGGCGCCATGGCTCACACCTGTAATCCCAGCACTTTGGGAGGCTGAGGCGGGTGGATCACGAAGTCAAGAGATCGAGACCATCCTGGTCAACATGGTGAAACCCCGTCTCTACTAAAAATACAAAAAATTAGCTGGGCATGGTGGCGCGTGCCTGTAACCCCAGCTACTTAGGAGACTGAGGCAGGAGAATTGCCTGAACCCAGGAGGCGGAGGTTGCGGTGAGCCGAGATCACGCCATTGCACTCCAGCCTGGGTAACAAGAGCAAAACTCTTGTCTCCAAAAAAAAAAAAAAAAAGTATATGATATATGTAACTGGCCAGGTGTGGTGGCTCACGCCTGTAATACCAGCACTCTGGGAGGCAGAGGTGGGTGGATCACCAGAGGTCAGGAGTTTGAGACCAACCTGAACAACAAGGAAAAACCCCATCTCTACTAAAACTACAAAATTAGCTGGGCATGGTGACGCATGCCTGTAATCCCAACTACTCAGGAGGCTGAGGCAGGAGAATCGCTTGACCCTGGGAGGCGGAGGTTGTGGTGAGCCAAGATCATCCCATTGCACTCCAGCCTGGGCAACAAGAGCAAAACTCCATCTCAAAAAAAAAAAAAAGTATATGTAACTACAAGAGAAAAAGAAAACTACTGACACTCATAGGCCGTAAAAACTATAATTCTTATACAAATGAAGTATAGATACACAGATAAACAGATAACAGTATAAATATCTAAAGTAGATGCATGGGTACTACTGGTTTTAGATATCATGCCATGGAGAAGACATAAAAACATACCTTGCTTATTTCATTCACAATAAATCCTTCTGAAGCTGTAACCTCTGGAATGCCATCTAGGCCAATTCCTTGACAAGTTAGGCTGCCATACAAAGACGGTTTCCCTGTATGGTACAAAAGAAGCATGTCCCAAAAAATAAGAATTTAGTATTTTTCTCTTTGAAGACCCAATTCAGGCATCTGTATAAAATAGTACACCCGTAAAATTGGCCCATGAATGAAAAACAGGTATCTGTGTTAAAAGTCAGGTGAAGTGGAAAGAGAATTAGATTAGATATCTTAGTCTGTTTAGTGTTGCTATAAAGGAATACCAGAGGCTGGGTCATTTATAGAGGAAAAAGGTTTTATTTGGCTCACGGTTCTGCAGACTGTACAAGAAGCATGGCACCAGCATCTGCTTCTGATCAGAGCCTCAGGCTGCTTCCATTCATGGCAGAAGGAGAAGGGAAGCCAGTGTGTGCAGAGATCACATGGTGAGAGAGGAAGTAAGAGAGGGGAGGGAGATGCCAGGATCTTTTTAACAATCAGCTTTCTCAGGAAAGAACAGATGGAGAACTCAGTCTCTCTCACTCCCCAGGAAGGACATTAATCTATTCACGAGGGGTCTGCCCCCCTGACCCAAACACCCCCCATTAGGCTCTACCTCCAACACTGCTTTAATAGTATGTATGGGCAAGATAAATGCAAAATGTTAGGGAAAAGATCTTAAAAAAAAAAACCCCAGTTGGAAGTTTTGCTCTCAGATTGTCTTTTTAGTGTAAGTAAAGAGTTTGCCTTACTTTAAAGAAACTGTGCCTTTTGGTTATGGTGTATTACAAGAAAGCCAAGGTCCTTGTAATAATCAGTGGACTAATGAAAAGATGGTGAATTTTAATATTATGTTTATATATTTTAGTTAAAATAAAATGTAAATCTTTATTATTATTTTTTTTTTCATTGAGACAGGGTCTCGCTCTGTCTCTTAGGCTGGAGTATCAAGTGGCACAATCATAGCTCAAGCAGTTAGAACAGGATTTTTGAACATAATTAAATACAATAAAATAGGTTAAATAAAATATAGTATTTTCCTTGAATTTTTATGTTTAATATAATTATATATTTTTATTATAATATATAATTAATATAACTAGCTGTAATTATATAATATAAAATATATGTATACATTTGTATATTTGTGAGTATGTGTTTCTTTTTTTAGAGACAGTGTCTCACTTTCTGGTCCAGCATAGAAATGCAATAGCGTGATCACAGCTCACTGTAGCCTTGACTGTCTGCACTTGAGCAATCCTCTCACCTCTGCCTCTTGAGTAGCTGGGACTATAGACACGCAACACCATGCCCAGCTAGTTTTGTTTATTTGTTGTAGATATGAGGTCTCCCTATGTTACCCAGGCTGGTCTCAAGCAATCCTTCTGCTTTGGCCTCCCAAAACGGTGGATGGCAGGTGTAAGCCACCAGGTCTGGCCTTGTATTTTAAGATGATTGGCAAGTCACAATACTATAAAGTCCATTCTTTATTCCACTGATATAAACTATAATCTTTTCTGCAGCCTCAACCTCCCGGGCTCAAGAGTTCCTCCTATCTCAGCCTCCCAAGTAGCTGGGACTACAGGTGCATGCCACTATGCCTGACTAATCTTTCTATTTTTTATAGAGATGAGGATCTCACTTTGCTGCCCAGGCTTGTCTTAAACCCCTGGACTTAAGTGATCCTCCTGCCTCAGCTTGCCAAAGTGCTGGGATTACAGGTATGAGCCACAGTACCCAGCTAAAACTTTATTTCTCATAGAAATAAAATATATCAGCAACATTTGAAATGAAAGATAATCAGCAAAACAAAACTTTCTCACAGAATTTAGAAGGAAGGTTGATTTGTTTTAGAATTGTACCACATTGGTTATAATTTGAAAAGAATCGTGCAAATGACATAAGAGTGTCATTCAAAAGAAAAACTGATAAGACTTGGGAGCTTCCTGGATATGGGAAGGTCAAGTAACTAGGTTTTTCACTCTGATGCCTAGGTAAATGATGGTAACTTACGTGGACGGCAGCAATAAATTAAAAAAAGAAAAAGGCCGGGCGCAGTGGCTCACGCCTATAATCCCAGCACTTTGGGAGGCCGAGGCGGGTGGATCACGAGGTCAAGAGATCAAGACAATCCTGGTCAACAAGGTGAAACCCCATCTCTACTAAAAATACAAAAATTAGCTGGGCGTGGTGGTGCACGCCTGTAGTCCCAGCTACTCGGGGGGCTGAGGCAGGAGAATTGCCTGAACCCAGGAGGTGGAGGTTGCGGTGAGCCGAGATCGCGCCATTGCACTCCAGTCTGGGTAAGAAGAGCGAAACTCCGTCTCAAAAAAAAGAAAGAAAAGAAAAATGATGGTAACTTAAATGAGAAAATCAAGAAAGAGAATTCATTTGACAACAAACGTACTCAGCTTGGTTTTGGACTTCAGTAAGTCAGGTAACTTAAGGTCACTGTAAGCTTTAAGCAGAAATCTCTAGCAAACAACTGTTCCCATTTCTGCTTGAACATAGAGAGGTCACGGCTGGAGCTATAGATCTAGAAATTAACATCAAGAAGGTCCCTGAAGCTGCAGAAGTGCTTAGAATACAACAGCACAAGATAAGGGACTAATTAGATGCATCAACAATGTCTCCATGAATAAGTCTGTGGCTTTCAAACGGAAAATCAATCTGAAGGCCTTCCCTTGAAAAGGAGGATTTGGGGTGATGGCCATACAGTACAGACTGATCTAGCATGTTTGCAGACTGTATTATGTAAGGAGGCTGGGCCAGGAGAAAGTAAGAAGCTTTCTTCTAAGGGTAATAATCCTTCTTTAAAGTGACAGCATATAGATTTATAGGTATTACCTGGGGGATGACAGCTCAGCCAGGCCTCCCCTTCATCCTTCCTATGAAGAAAGACAAAAGCCTAATTAGGCTTACCAAAGTTGAATGGGATGCCATAGTTACAAGTGAAGAAGGAAGGTCATGTAACCTCCAGTTTGGTCATAGTACTTAGACATGATCTAGTTCTACCTCTGATCAGGTATAGATCATTCTAAGACAGACAAACTTTATTTGTTCAAGAAATATTTTGTGGATTAACTATTTAATTAATAGATATCTGTTGGTTAAATTAATGCTCATCCATCAACAGTGAGATCACTTTGAAAAATCAAGGTTATTTTATTTAGATATTTATCCAGATTATTGCAAACCAAGTCCTGTGTTAAGCACTTTGCATACAGCATCATTAACCCTCACAATAACCAAACAAGATTCCTTTTATTATTTTAGCACCTGCCCAAACACCCAAATCCTTCACCCTAGCACTTTTAGGGTATAATGCAAAGGGTCTATGCTTTTAAGACAAAGATCGAGGTTGACAGCAACCCTTTATCATTTGACAAGATGCATCATCTTGGGCAAGTTAAGTCCTCTGTGCTGTATTTTCTCATAGGTACCTGGTGGTACTTCATGTTACTGTTCTTTATTACTTATCACATTCTGTGTACTAGTAAGTAGTCTGTATTTTAGCCCACATAAAATTAAGTAAGGTGTAAATTTATAAGGTGTAAATTTCTTATGCAGAAGGCTATGTTTCATTAATCTTCACCATTGTTTCAATTTGAAAAACCCTTATTAGTAACAGCAATTGCCAAATATGGCACTGCTATATTCATCCTGACGCCTAGAGAAATAACTGGCACAGTATAAGATCGACAAACGTGGCCAGGCATGGTGGCTCAGGCCTGTAATCCCAGCACTTTGGGAGGCTGAGGCCGGCACATCACCTGAGGTTGGGAGTTCGAGACTAGCCTGACCAACACGGAGAAACCCTGTCTCTACTAAAAATACAAAAAAATTAGCCAGGTGTGGTGGCACATTCCTGTAATCTCAGCTGCTAGGGAGGCTGAAGCAGGAGAATCGCTTGAACCTGGGAAGCGGAGGTTGCGGTGAGCCAACATTGTGCCATTGCACTCTAGCCTGGGCAAGAAGAACGAAAGTCCATCGCAGGAAAAAAAAAAAAAAAAAAAAAGATCAACAAACGTTAGGTGAATGAATAGTTTGCTGTGTACTCCTGACTAAGATGTCAGCTTTTTCTTTTTTTTTTCTGAGAAAGGCATCGCTCTGTCACCCTGGCTGGAGTGCACTGGTGCGATCTTGACTCGCTGCAACCTCTGCCTCCTGCGTTCAAGCGATTCTCCTGCCTCAGTCTCCCAAGTAGCTGGGATTATAGGCGCCTGCCACCACGCCCGACTAATTTCTGTATTTTTAGTAGCGACGGGGGTTTCACCATGTTGGTCAGGCTGGTCTTGAACTTCTGGCCTCAAGTGATCCACCAACCTCAGCTTTCCAAAGTGGGATTACAGGCGTGAGCCACCGGGTCTGGCCTGGATGTCGGCTTCTGGAAGAGCAGGAACCATCACTTGTATTTAGAGTATACACCTGAGCTCTACCAAGTATCCAGTATGGGACCTGGACATGGTGTTAGTTTCCTTAATAGTATCGTCCAGTATGCCTAATATAGCATTAGGGGCCTAGGAGAATATAAAGGTTCCATCACATATACAAAGTGGTGGTGAGTACAGGGGCTTTTGGAAACAACTGATGACTAATCAGTACTTGCTAAATGACTGCTTGGCCAAGAGCCTTCCTGCCTCCCAGTATCCCTATCTTTCTCCAACTCACTGATCGTAGTTCGGACGCGGGGATCACACAGCTCATGTGCTCCCTTAGCCTGGGATAACTTTTCATAGAATGACCATACGGGTTTGATACTTCTTTTTCCAGACCCTGTTCCCTCCATATCCCTCAACAATTGATGAAGTAACCCCTGTGGATATCCTGGACCAGGCATAGCTCTCCTTGACGCAAAAGCAACATCCACTACCCTCCTCCTCTGCCTCCGTTCTGAGCCTGAATTCACCTGAGGGCCTGAGCCCAGTCGCTCTGAATCCTCAAAGGCGCCGCCATCTCGACCCCGCCTCCACCAGCCCACCTCTTCCTCCCCTTCCCGGAAGTGGGTTCCTGAGAAGGGTGTGGCGAGTACAGAGGGCGGGCGTCCACCGAGGCCACCAATGAAAACGTGCGGTGGGTTCACCGCCCCTTCCGTGTGCGCGCTCCCCACGAGGTCCTTGTTCCTGGGAGGATGGACCTAAGATTCCCAACTGCCTGCGAAGCCCAAGCTGCCGCGTAGGTGCACGCGTTCGGGCCCTCTTCTCCCACCTGTTCGGTGAGCATCGCTTACCTTGTTCTTTCTCCAGGAGGCATTGTGGAAACAACAGGGCTGCGCTAAGCGGCGACGCGCGCGCATGCGTCCTTAAAGTTCAAAGTCAATGCGCCCGAGAGGCGCTTCAGGCCTCCTAGCTGCCAGCATTTTTCTGCTTTAGGATCCTTTCCATGACTTCCTAGTTTAAGCCAGCCTCCACGATTCAGCTGCCAGCCATCTACTCTGTCCTGATCTCTGAGCACGGGTCGTCCTCATTTTACTCCAGAGTAGACTGAAACCAGAAGGTGGTGAGAGGAGAGTACAGTAGCATTTACTAAGTCCTATTGTAGCCCAAGCACTTTTCATTCGTTATATTACTCCTCATTCTAATTGTGCGAATTAAATGATATTAATGAGGAAACTAAGATGAAAAAGATGGCATAAGTAAGGGCGTAGTGCTGGGATTCGAACACAGATCTAGGTTTAGGATTGGTTTGGGATCCAAGGCACTTTCCATTCCACCGTTCTTGCTCTAAATGATTTGCTCCTGGCCTATTTAAAGAGTTAACAGTGTATTTAAGAAAAGAAAACTATTAATTTTATTGAGATCTTGAGACGTAAATATAGCCCCACCTCCTCAAAAGCCTGAGGTGGCACATGCCTATAGAGAAAGGGTCTCCTGCTGTCGCCCAGGCTGGAATGCAGTGGTGTGATCGCGGCTCACTGCAGCTGCAACCTCCCATGTTCAAGTCATTTTTCCACCTCAGCCTTCCGAGTAACTGGGACTATAGGCATGTGCCACCACACCAGAATAATTTTGTTTTATTTTTTCTAGAAACGAGGTCTCAAAGTGTTGCGTAGGCTGGGCACAAACCATCCTCCCACCTCAGCCTCTCAAAGTGATGGGATTACAGGGGTGAGCCATGGCACCTGGCTTCATCTCTGTGTTTCCAGAGAGGTTATCAAATGACATGTCCAAGGGCACCAAATGAAGCAGTGACAAAGCTAGGTCCAAGTCTGTTTCAAAGCCCATTTTCCCCCCTCCTGCCTAAGTTATACTGCTTCCAAGGCAAATGAGTTGTGTAAAGTGCCTAACTCCCTAAAGAGTCTTGAATTCTCTACTATATCCTACAAAGCCTTGTGATGATCACTTATTTATATCATCAGTTTAATTTGTTGTCTTGTTCTCATATTCTGTTCTCCAATCACTGAACTTTTTTTTGATCTCGTGTCAGATTCTATCTCAACCACCTGCTCTTCCATTGACCAAAAATACTTTTCCCATCTCTGGCTAACTTCTGTTCATCTGTCAAGTTTCAGCTTGGAAATCACTTCCTCTAGGAAGCCTTCCGTGCCTATTCCTGCCCTTATGTGGATTAGGTATCCCTCAGCTGTGGTCCCAGTCTTAGCCATCTGTACATTGTGTAGTAAACTGCCCTGTCTGTTTCCTTGTCTAGGCTGTAAACTCCATGAAGCCAGGAACTTAACTTAGTCACTTCTGAATCCTCAGCACTAGCATAGTGCCTGGTAAATGACAGGTACTTAGTCATTTGTTGAGTGAATGGCAGACACTGTAAAGGTATCAAGGAGTCCTTCTAGTGTCTTTATAGCCCATCATGGTGAAATTTTTGCAAAGGCTGAAGTCATTTCTCTTCAAACCTTAAGTTCCTTCTGTATGCTACTTTGTGCTGAGTCCTCTGATGCAAATGGATAAGACAGTTTGGACAAATAAATACACCTCACATTTTTGTATAGTTTACAAAGTCATCTCACTTACCTTATAGATTCATGTCTTAAACCTGGCCTCTGCATGCTGTATGCTACTACCACACTTCACTCTTTCCATCCTCCCCATGTGTCAGAACCTACCCATATTTGGGCACTCTTTCACGTTCTAAACTTTGTTCTTCAGGTATAGAATAAGGCCAGTAGGATAAAAGAAGAAAGGTTATTTATTTATTTGAAACAGGGTCTCACTGTCACCTAAGCTGGAGTACAATGGCACCACCATAGCTCACTGCAGACTTTGAATTCCTGGGCTTAAGGGATTCTACCACTTCAGCCTCTTGAGTAACCAGGACTACAAGTATGTACCACCATGCCCTGCTGATTTTTAAATTTTTTTGTAGAGACGAGGTCTTGCTTTAACCCAGGCTGGTCTCAAACTCCTGGGCTCAAGCAATCTTCCTGCCTCAGCCTCCCAAAATGCTAGGATTATAGGTGTGAGCCATCGTACCTGGCTGAAAGTTTAGTTCTTTTTAGGTAGATCAGAGATTGTGTCTCTAAAAAGATGACATTTCACCTAATTCATATTCCAGTAGCAAAATCCATTGAGCTTATTGAATGTTATATTAAGCATTCTCACATACTTTATCTCATTCAGTTCAAACCACTCTGCAGGCCTGCTGTCAGCCAGGCCTACTGCTGGGGACACAAACGTAAATCAAGACAAACATCAGCTGGGCACAGTGGCTCACACCTGTAATCCCACCACTTTGGGAGGCTGAGGTGGGAGGATCACTTGAGACCAGGAGTTTGAGACCATACTGAGCAACATGGAAAAACCTTGTCTGTACTAAAAATCAAAAAAATTAGCTGAGTGTGGTGGTGCACACCAGTAGTCCCATCTATTCTGGCAGGGGTCGACTGAGGGATTGCTTGATCCCTAAAGATGGAGGCTACAGTGATCCTGGGTGACAAAGCAAGACCCCCTCAAATAAAAAAATAAAAAATAAATTAAAAACAAGCATGTGTCTTTAAGCTTAGAGTCTCCCACAGGAGACAGACATAAACAGGCTAAACAGTGCAGTCTGGTCAGTGCTATTTATAATCTACGAACCTTACATATCATCATATCGCTACTCTAACCTTGTCTCTGTTAATGTTCTATAGACTCCCCACCCCCAAGATGTCAACCTCAGTCCCTCAAGGCCATACCTGGACCCGACCTGTGAAGAAAGAAGAGGAGGAGGAGGACCCGCTGGACCAGCTGATCTCCCGCTCTGGCTGTGCTGCCTCCCACTTTGCAGTGCAGGAGTGCATGGCCCAGCACCAGGACTGGCGGCAGTGCCAGCCACAGGTGCAGGCCTTCAAGGACTGCATGAATGCACAGCAGGCGAGGCGGCAAGAGGAACTGCAGAGGAGGAAAGAACAAGCCAGTGCCCACCACTGAGACCCCATACCACCTATCCCCAGTAGATGGCCCTGCCAAAACCAGCAACCAGAGAGATCATAAAAGAAGAAATTCTGAATGGTGGGTGTGGGAGGTGTAAAACATGCGGATAGTTTTTGGATCTGTAGTTGAGAGCAATGGGTTTGGACATGACTGCCACAAACAGCTGTCATATATTCAGTGTCAGATCTCACACATCCTCAGCCGTCTTGTTCCACCAGTATTTGCCATGAAAACAAAGAATGGGATAAGGGATGCTCCCCCACCCCACATCTTGGGTCAGTGTACTGAGATGATTTTAGGGACATTTGTATTTTAAATTAAATTCATAATTTAATGGTAAATTGGTTACCTAATTAGTGCCTTTCTCTTTCATCACTTGTTCTGGATCAGTTTCAATCAGTTTAGGGGAAAGAAAAAAGCAAATGGGGAAACTTTTTATTCAAATAGAGTTTTGTTTTTTAGATGGAGTCTTGCTGTGTTGCCAGGCTGGATTGCAGTGTCACATTCTTGGCTTACTGTAACCTCTGCCTCCAGGGTTCAAGCAATTCTTCTGCCTCCACCTCCTGAGTAGATGAAACTACAAGGCACGCAACACCACACCCAGCTAATTTTTGAATTTTTAGTAGAATTGGGGTTTCGCCATATTGGCCAGGATAGTCTCAATCTCTTGACCTTGTGATCCGCCCACCTCTGCCTCCCAAAGTGTCGGGATTAAAAGTGTGAGCCCTGCACCCGGCCTGTTTTGTTTTTTGAGACAGGGCCTCTGTTGCCCAGGCTGGAGTGCAGTGGTACAATCATGACTCACTGCAGCCTCAGGGCTCAGGCCCTCCTCTCACCTCAGCCTCTCAAATAGCTGGAACAACAGGTGTGAGCATAACCACACACAGCTAATTATTCAAATTGAGTACCTATTAAATGCCAGATTCTGTTGAATTAACAGATAATGAATCTGGCCTCAACCTGCTTCCACCCCAACAAACACACAGAGTTGGGCTAACATTTTTAAAGTATATTTTCAGCTTTTGAAAAGTGGAAAAGCTGTCAACATTGACTTTTATTCCCTCTTAACAATTGGCTGGAGCTGAATAATAATTCCCCTTTGAGGAGGATGTGTTTTCTCATTCAAAACAGTTGCATATCACTTTTCATTTTTCTTCAACAAAACTCCTCTTCCATTCTAGTCTATTCTTTTTTTTTTTTTTTTTTTTTTTTTGAGATAGAGTCTTGCTTTGTCACCCAGGCTGTAGTGCAGTGGCACAGTCTTGGCTCACTGCAACCTCGGCCTCCCTGGTTCAATCAATTCCCCTGCTTCAGCCTCCAAAGTAGCTGGGACTACAGGCAAGTGACACCACACCCAGCTAATTTTTGTATTTTTAGTAGGGATGGGGTTTCACCATGTTGGCCAGGCTGGTCTTGAACTCCTGACTTCAGGTGATCTTCTTGCCTCAGCCTCCCAAAGTGCTGGGATTACAGGTGTGAGCCACTGCATCTGGCCAATAACAAATACTTCTTGAGCACTATTAGAAGCCCAAATCTGAGGTATAGTAGGCCTTAAAATTTACTTTGAGACTTCATGCCGGTATTTGGAAGAAGTAAAGAGAAAAGAGGGGAGAAAGTAGGAGTTTAAAGAATAATCCTATTTCAGGCCGAGGGGGATAACCAGGCAAATTATAATAAAAAGACAAATCGCTATGTGCCCTTGTGTACTCGATGCTGATTCATCAGAGTAAACAAGCAGTGTGCACTGGAGTTTTCAGCAAGAATCTCAGAGAAGAGAAGGGAATTAGTTGACATGAACTTTTTTTTTTTTTGAGATGGAGTCTCTGTCCCCAGGCTGGAGTGTAGTAGCATGATCTTGGCTCACTGCAACCTCCGCCTCCCAGGTTCAGGCAGTTCCCTGCCTCAGCCTCCCCAGTAGTTGGGATTACGCCTGCTACCACAGCTGACTAATTTTTGTATTTTTAGTCGAGATGGGGTTTCACTATATTGGCCAGGCTGGTCTTAACTCCTGACCTCGAGATCCACCGGTCTTAGCCTCCCAAAGTGCTGGGATTGCAGGCATGAGCCACTGTGCTTGGCCAAGTTGAACTTTAAAGATGAAGTAGGCCGGGCCTGATGGCTCACGCCTGTACTCTCAACATTTGGGAGGCCAGAGCAGATAGATCACTTGAGGTCAGGAGTTCAAGACCAACCTGGCCAACATGGCGAACCCCGTCTCTGCTAAAAATACAAAAAAATTAGATAGTCACAGCGGTGCATGCTGAGTGTAATCTCAGTTACTTGGGAAGCTGAGGCAGGATAATCTCTTGAACTTGGGAGGTGCAGATGGCAGTAAGCTGAGATCATACCACTGCACTCCAGCCTGGGTAATGGAGTGAGACTGCC